TTTGGTGAGAGATTTTCAGGGGTAAAATTGGTTCTGTAGTAAATTTCTAGAGTGCCTGATATATCTAAGGTTCAGAAAAAACTTAAGAATACTTTGTAATTGTTGCCACAAAAGTTGTGCGTATCAAATGAAGATGCTAAGACAATCGGCTGGCGGTACAACAAAGCGAAGCCGTCGGTCTGTCAAAATGCTCTCTTTGACAGTACAGCTTACGACACGACGACTCTGACAGGGAGGCAAGCGATTCACGTTCCTTTAACCGAAAGCTGGATATCATTACAACGGACGAAACTCCCGAAGTCGACCTTCGATTTCGTATATATGTTGAGGCTGAAAGAAGCAGTGATAATTTTGCAAGATAGAGCAGCGGAACGACATGGAAAGCGTATAAGTTTGCTGGAACGAGTAATTAAACGATTCAGAGTCCACCTCAAACGTAAACCAATTTATCAAAAATAAATAGCAATTAATTTTTTTTAAATTTAGTTTAGTAAAAACGAACAGTCGTAGGTTTTTAGTAGTACATCGTACAGTTAATGATTAGAGTCGGCTGTAGGGTGGCAAACTATTGCCGGGTCTGAATCAGTCGTGAATAAATCTCTGAAGTCGTGAATCAGTCGTGAAAAGAATTTAGAATAAAATCCGCGTAGTGGCTGACGTAAATAACTGAAGCTCATTGAAGCTTGGCAAAATAAGGGTTACAGTGGGGTCCGAGGTTGCGGCAAGTAATGAATTTGTGGAAAGTTAAAGTCACCCGTTATGGCTTATCCATCTTTCACAATTTATTGATACAGTCAAAAGTTTGGTACGACCAAGCTCAAAAAAGATAAAGGCACGGCTGAGAATTATTTCTACCATCTAGTTCTAAACCTTTTTTTTAGGCGGAAGCAATCAAATCTTCAACACTTTTTTGACCTAATAGTATGCTGATCTAAAACATAATAGTAAACACGTGAAAAGTACGGCGTTACAACATTATTAAATAATGTCATCCAATGAGAACGTTATAAATTCTCATTAGATCGGATTTAATAGATATTGTGTTCTCACATAGAGGAATCGAAAAGGCATTACTAGCTTTTGTGGAACTATGAGGTCAAACTACGCACCACTAGGATTACAAATTTGATACATTTGGTAAATATAGCGTTCTATAAATTGATCGAGTGTAGTGCTGAAAATCAGTGCTCAGTCTCTAGGTTGAAGATGAGGACGCTAGGGTAACAAATTGAAGATGGTTGAGAATGTAAGACAAGAAAGCCCTCAGCAAGACAATAATGAATCACTGGTGCAACAATCTTAAGAACAAAAATTGAAAGATCAAACACTTAAGGACCTCAAACGAGAAAAAGAATCGCTGTGATCCTAAAAGCTTTTGAGAAAAACAGCATACGCAATTAGCTCCCTGACGACTCAGTATGGGTCTCCTCAGGGTATTCGTTATCAAATTGTAACGACAACACTGAAGATAAAAAATCGGAACATGTTTTTTTGCGGACTAAGTGGAGGACCAATGAAAAAAAATACAATGTACTTTGAAGAAAATTTGCGCAATTGTTATTTTGAAAAATCCGCCTAGAGAACACCGCTGCCATGGCGGAGTCATGGCCTAGACTGTGCATTCCATCAAAGGAGAATAAAACAAAGGAATAGCGTTAAACAAAAGAAAAGGAAACTATTTGTGCTATCAAATATCTCAAATTGCTGAAGAATTTCATTAACGTAATGCACCAATCGATACTATACGGTAAGGTTATTATTCTATACCGTATGCAATATCCTGATGTCAGAAAAAATATACAGAACCACTTAAAACACTTTACATCATACTGGTTTTGTTGAGTTGTTGAGTTTTAACTTAAGATTCTAGAAACGACTTAAACATGGTACCAGCAGGCAACGAACGGCATGATATCTATCACAATCTTCCCCGCATCTGAAGTACATGTATCGTCATGCTCGTTACAGAAGTTTTCTGCAGAATTTATGGAATCTATGCACGGCAAGGCGAGTGATGGCATTCTGATTTAGCCGATTCGTCCTCTTACACTCGTTGTTTGTTATTACGCCCGAAGAAAAACCTCAATTAATCTCTACGATTGTTTGCTCCTAATTGCTAAGGCTTCCATTGCTTAAAGCTTGAGGTGACGACGGATATTTTCGGACAGCAATAGCGAACAAGCTAGAAGATGCGCGAGGCGATTTGGAGTCATTTTGTGTAACGCGCGGAGTCAGGCTGAAGCTTGTTACATTTGGAACCTGTTAGACCTATATATGATTACGTTTTCTAGATACGGGATGATGTATTTCCTCAGCCCTCTTAATTTGATCAGGGAAGCGAGATGAGTGACCTAAGAGTGAAATCAGGTTTCACACTAACCTAAGGTAAGCTAGTTGTTTGTTTAAAAAACGAAAGTTAGGCTATTTTATCATTGACGGTTATTGTGTTTTCCTGTCAAATCGCAATGAGAAGCTCGATCACGTTCGTAGAGCATGAAAGCTTGCGAGCCTCTCTTGAGTTCGGTTAGTTGAGGCGAGCATTGATTGATCAGAGGAAAATCAGAATAAGAAAACATCGGCGAACTTCTCCACCAGTTTGTACGGTGATTGCAAATCAGTCGGCTCAACATAGACTGGTATGATACGTAGTCGCTGGTTATATAAGGCTTTATTCTCCACTAGGCATTTTGTGAGGTCGCCTACCTTCCGACTATAAAAAAATGAAGATGCCTCTTCTAGAACAGCCTGGTCCATTGTTTTTTTTTTACCAAAGCAATGTACAGAATAGAAATGCGGTGAGTTAAAAAGGCTAGTCTCCGTTAATATGGGCACGTCTATACTGTTCGGAAAGAGGAGCACCAGAGTTGCAGCCGCCCACACAGCTTCATTGTGTAATTCGAAGCGTCCCGCAAGGTCCGGCCATTCTGCAAGATCCGTGATTATCTTCGCGAACGGCTGCAGTGATTTAAGGTGTCGTGTACTAAAGCTATATAAGGTCATCAATGTTGCCAGAACCTAGTTCACGAAGTCCTCGTTGAGGCAGGCGGGACTCATTGAAGGTAGTCTAACTGTTCGGCTGCCTTTCCCATTTGCGGTTCCTTAATTGACTTTGAGTGCTGATTTGTGTATTTGTCTAAAATGACCTGGATGCTGGAACGCTCAGCTCTAGGATCCCGGTTGAGCTGGATGGGTTTGCTGTTCGAGCCCTTCACTGTTGTCATCGCCCTATAGGTTGTCAGGATTTTCACGCCTAAAAAATTCATGTTCTAGGCAGTCTTTCAGGCCATCTCACTTTTGCAGCTGTGCCGTCCACCGTTGATGACTGGATGCTGAGATATGAACAGCAAAAGAATTTCACATTTTCTTGGCTTGCTTTTTTCGCAATAATATCGTTTGCCTTTTTGCAGTGTTGACCGAAGAGGAGAACGGAGGTCGTGTATACTTTTGACTCGAGTCACAAGGTTATTAACACCTCCGAGGAATTCTTCATTTTGCTAACATATCCGTTCTTTTCAAACTCTATGCATCTATGATAACCAGCCTGTGAAAACATTGGAACAGGTCCATCAGTGCTGTTAGTATATTCCTCTGCTTCTTATACGACACTGTCGATGTCTATTCTCAGTGTCGTACTGACGTATTCTTAATAACGAATCGTTCTACACAGAAATTTTTAATCTCTCACGATTTCGCATGCTTCTGTTTCGCTTGTAAGTTCGACATTTGCCCTTCCAGCTGTATCATTCGATAGTATGAGAACGCCAGAAAATATATTATTTATTCATCAGTGCACACATATCGAAATATTTCATAATCTGTTTTAACCATCAATCTGATGTTGACGCTGAGCAATGCGATTTGGCCTGCTAGATGGATTGTCGAATTAGCCTCATCACAATTCTTATAAGCCGCATATATTACATTGTTCTATTTCAAACAGCATACGTAAACATCGCTGCATCTCGCGCGATCTTTCATTCTTTTAGACGCGGTGATTGAAAATAGGGAACCTTAGCGATTGTACATGCACAGTTAGGTTATGTTTGTTGTTCGTTTCCTTGATGCTGCGCGTGGACTGACGATTCCCGCTATCCCGTCGTACTAAGCGTCGTACCTGGGATGGTACAGATGTGTGCCGATGGGGGGATTGCGCTTAATCGACGGCACACTGCCATTCAGTTTTCTAATTCGCATAAGTGCTCTCACAGGGCCAGCCAGTACATTCTCGATAAGATGGATCGTTTGCTCGTAACCCTTGCAGATACCAGGTATTTAGAAGCGCATGGAATGAAGACGGCTCGATTAGTACCTAGCACTCCTAGGAAGCTCAATGGGACTCCTTAACGGTGCTCATAGATTGAGGCAAACGCCCATGCGATTACACTGATCAGCGGTTAGCTGAACACCAACGGTGACTTCTATCTGTAATAAATAAAGGGGAGTAAATCTGAATAAATCAATTCATCGAGTTTCGCGCTCAATGGTACCGTTTAGCACTACTACAGACAGCTGGCCTTCACCATAAAATAGAATGCGTTTACGGAAGTTTTCGAACTTCACACCCAATATCGCTGCTAAGTATTGGTTTAGACCGTTAGCACTCGATAGGAAACGAACTGTCTAAGCTTGGTTTCGAACCTACGCGACCTCATATGATTTTATGTTTACTAGGTAAAAGTGTTATAACTGTATAATCACAGGGACCAAGGAAGTACATTCCAAGGAAGTACAGGAAGAATATCGCTGTTTGTTTCAAAATTTAGGTCAACTTTTTTTGCCCGCTAAATGACTCAGGATAGCCTGATATTTCCCAGTGTGTCATAAATGTCGCTCAAATTCCCTTTGAATTTAGTTGACTTACTGATTCACGGTTTACGTGTTTAATGTAAAAGCGTGAAACTATTACTATAAATCGAGTAGCATGAATAAAGTCAATACAACGTTAGCAGGGTAATACACTCTAATTAAACTTACTTTTATTCCACTTGTGCATATTTTAGGTTGGTTCGGGAAATGGCCTAATTGCCATATGCTCTCTCGTAAGTCTCACGTACGAGTATGAGAAGACTTTGAAACTCAAGGAGCGACTTCAGATGGATAGTCAACATCTATACAACATTCTTGGCGTCAAAGATCATAAATACCTTAGCCATGCGGAGTGGCCAGTCAGAGCACTTAGAAGCCTTCTTTGCCTTATTCAGAGAAGGCCCATAGATGATGCATACTTTGCCCAACTGCTGGCGGTATGTGCAGCTTACAATAAGGATAATATTGCGTAAAAAATTAGACATTTCGAAGTATTCATTAAAAGTATGTGTAACTTTAAATATAACAGAGAATTCCAATTTGTCAAGGAAGCATCCTATGTAGCCGTAGTGTGATATGAGCAATATTTTACACGGTAATACGGTGTGGTAAGGTATTGTAGTTGCTTGGAAACCTTTTTACAAGGAAAGTTTTGAGATAAATTACTAAATAATACCAGAATGGTGGATGAGGAGAGCTAAGGATTACCCTAAATCAGGAAAAAATACAATTGTATGATGTCTTTCAAAAAAGCCATAGACATATCTGTAGGAAGAAATACTTGTGCGCAAACTTCAACTGTGATGGTACAAAATACCTTGAAATTAGAGATCGATCGTCTCTTTCATCTTAGAATGTACTCTTTACATTCTAAGATCAAAGAGGGGCGGTCCAAGGCTTTCGTATTTTATGTGCTATGCTGTTTTCAAAAGGTACTCACCAAATTACGAATTGAACTCTTGTCTGTCCTTGATATATTTTTCGAAATTTTCCAGTCCGCATCCGGGTTGTAGTACCATGTAAACAGCGTAATTGACGTAATTCTATGATGGAGAGTAACGAAGGTGTTTATTTGATAATTTTCGTGACTTGTGATAGTGAAGTCAGATTTTAAGTGGGAGTGAAATGCACTATACCTAGCTCACACTGAGGCATATACTATAAACAAAACTCTTTAACATTAGTAGTTCAAAGGCTTTTGCTCAAAACCGACCCGTCATGTCGAAATATTAGGCTGGGTAATACGCGGTCACAAATATCGATTATCCCACATGCTTGTTATTGGTGATGGAAAGTGGAGCCTGTATGTCAACATAAACCAGATGTCGAGTTCTGGACTCCTATATAGGTTTTGTTGCACCGTTTACATCCTGCGGACTTTATGCCGACGGATTTCTGCTCATTGGGGAATCAACCTGTGCTTACTTTCAATACGAATCAACGATTCAGAACAACGGTTGGGAAACCTGATTAACACGTTACCTTCTGACTAGACAACATGCATTAGTTGGTAGAAATAAGAATGAAAATCGTGCACAATAACTTAATTGTTCCAGGAATAAAAGATGTGGTATTTTTACTTTATAAAACAAACGCTGACACTTGTTATGCAATTTAGTATAATTCAACGTTCGTATGATTATACTTTCAGAAGTTTACACGCAGCGCATCATCAACGGAGAAGGCCATTGGCGCAATATTGTTTTCGCTTCACCAAATGTTGCCGCTGCTGCAATCGCAAGGCTTACTTCGTGATGCCCTTAAATGCTTTTCGATTAAAGCTCAACACCAGGAATTCCTTGCTGCTGTTGGGGCAGGTTTGATGATACAAAAATGCATGTTTCACGGAATCTTTGAAGTAGCTGAAGATGTTCGAAGAATATGTGAGGACATCGTTCAGAAACTGGAGGCATGGGCTCTTGATGGGAAGAGCGGGACGGTGACCAGGTATGTGTCCTATAAACTCACCATGCCTAGTTGTAAGTTTTCAGTAATTGATAAAAGCCACTTTCTTTATTTATATATTACAACAAACGAAAATAGTTTTTTTCCGCTAAGTTGGTCACAAAGAAAACTTTACACCTTCTAATACTGCTAATATACAGAAGCAAACGTTGTGATCATATTGATTTTATTTTAATTATCTGGATGTCCATACATTTCATTGCATTATCGTATCGGGCGGAATACCATCATTCCGCTCATAGAATGTCTTCCTTCGTATGCCGTAATTTAATTCTGATGCATGGTTAGCGGAGCTCGACGATACAGAACAACCTCCTTTTGATCGAGAAACTAGCCACCACGATGCCGATATAGCTTTGAATGCGTTCTGTGTCATCGGCAGTAATTCGAAAGCAGAATCGTTCTCCTAAATTAATCCAACGTAATGCATGCCGCTCAGGAGGACCATTGATGGCCGTTGCGCAACGGCCCAGATCGTCCTGTTAGCAAAACTCTTTGTTAACCGTGTCATTGACAGCGATGTGAAGTGACAATATTGAATAGCCCGCGTTCCCCGTAACTGAACCGTAGCTTCATCGTGCTAAGGGCATCCCGTGCAATTCACAAACCGAGAACGGGTGCACGAAAGCGGTACAGTAACCTTCAACTATCTAAAGGGATTAGTTTACACACATGATTTATTTTCGATCTAATAAATAAAGCTCTGCACGATTTGCGGGGCTTGAAGCCATTTTCGGAAAAGTATCGTGTTTCTAACTTTTAAACAGTATTGCCAATAATGGACATCTAGTGAGCGTTGTAGCTGTCTATTCAACCTAGCAAAGCAGTACGGAGCTCAACACGTCCTGGCATAAAAGGTAAAGAATTTTCTCTCGGAGCAAACTAGTGACCAGCGGCATTGTTTCTCAGGGAGCCACGTATAAATTGAGCAAGGCACTACCGTTACGATCTGTCGTACATTAAAGGCATGTTTGGCGAACACCGAGCTCAACTTCAAAGAGTTCTGATGTTCCGCAAACAACCTTCAGACACACGTTGCGCTCGCTTTGCAGGCAAGCACAATATTTGTGAAGTAACCCAATTTCATAGCGACTATATCTCTTCAATTTTTTTGTAACTACAGATAATATGTGAGATTTATAAAAAAAAAAAATGCAATTAAAATATTTTGGAAAATTTTTAATCTTTATAAAAAAGAAAGAAGATGAATCATGCAAACTGGATGTTTACTGTCATACAACTGCAAAATATTAGTTTTTAAATGCTTCCTCAACCAGCAGCCTGTTGTCACCCTTGTATTCGATGAAAATGCTCATCTTAGCGGTGAAAATTTCTCAGTAAGGATACCGCTTGTAAAAGGATATGTATATCTGTTAATTAAAGTTTGGGTTTTTGTCAGGAACGAATGCCGTGTTTCACGAGTAACTCATCCAGCAGTCCAAAGAAATGTCCATCCTTAACGTAAATTAATTTCGAATAGCGGTTCATGATCATTTTTCTATTTACAACTAAACTTCTGCAGATAGGTATCTGCAGTGTTTTTCTGTGTTGTTTGTTTGGTACTGTGGGACTCTCACCCACTAAACCCTGGACCTTTCAGAAACTTGGGCTTTGGTTCAGAATATAGTTTAATATTACTTCGAAAGATGCAGATGCCTGTCTAGGTCGTAACTAAAACATTATAGTAGGGATAAGAGAAGTGTACTGAAAACCGAAATAGTTATACTGGCGGTCTAGCAATATTTACCTGTTACCAGCAACTGACACTCGTAGTCTCGAAAAGAAAGACAAATACACACGTACGTTTTGCTGTCTATTTGACACTATTCTCTAAAAGAAGTAATGTCCAAAATATCATCATGGTAAAATTATTCACAAAAATGAACGCCTAGATTTGATGTATTCGTAAAGTGAAGCTAGCGTGGCTAGTTACGGTTGTTGATACGTCGACGAGCCGCAAAGCTTCTCCTGCAGCGCATACGTGAACCCAGGTAACATGAGCGATTCGTCTATCTAGCAAGGCTGTTAGCCTAAGGTGTGAAGACGCAAAGTATTTGTTTCTTAAGTAGGCAACGAGCCTGGCGCATATTCTATTCTGTCGTATACACACATATATGACACATGTGACAGCATCGCGTGTCCTAATAGCTCAGCTTCGTATGCAAAATATGCTTGTTGTTAGCAGCCTGCTGCGTCTTAACCTGTAGGTTGTTAATACCGTTCTTGGATATATACCGACGTCCCTGTAGGTAAACGTCTATGCTGATGGAAGCTCGTCTGTCCACATGTCATTATATGGTCCAGTTGTACTTCAGTGTGACTCGACGCGCAACGGTCCTCTGGTAGATTGCCTTCTGTGCTTCTCATTGCAACGCTTATTTTAGCTCACTCCTGTTGCTAGCATAGGTGGGAATTATTGTAGATTACAGATTCCTCTATCAAATGCCATAATCGTTTGCATCATCTCAGTAGCTCTCTCAATATCGCGTACGATATTTAAAGGTCAAAAACCAAATATGTGAATGCTACACCATGGCTGTCGGGCTATTACGTTGGCTTAGCGTCTCATTATTAGCCATAGTCCTCCATAAAGCATTGTGACGTTCCTGTGAGTTCTCAGTAATGCGTCCCGTGTGACATCCTTCTCAGAAGACAGTATGATCTTTAACTTTTTCGATATTGTTCTGTCCATAATATTGTAGAAAGACCCAACACAGCGAATTCAAATCGCTGTCTATTAACCTTCTATTAACTTTCTAGATACACCATTTGTCTATAAAGGCAATTAACAACGCAAACTCGCTCTATTGTCTCTATTAGATTATTAGTTAAAGCTATAGACTTCAACAACGAGAGTAGGACAATATCAGATATGCTGAATCTGAAATGTTTCAGAAAATTCCCAAAGACATATAACATTATTAATTCAATCAATTAAATTTACGTGGCAATAATAACATAGCACGTCAGGATATCAGTAACGCTCTCATAAGTAAGAGGTTTCAGAACAAGTTAAAAACCCAACTTAAATCAGTAGTCGTACAGCAAATACGCAATAAAAAACAGTTTAGCATGTTTTACGGCTAACTTCAGACTTCTAGGTTTCTAGTTTTGGTAAACACTACATGAACAATTATTTTAAGAGTCTGAGGAATGAATAAGGTTATGAAGCTACGGGTAATATTAGCTGGACTCCTGGAAGAGAAACTCAATATAATTAAGATCTAAAAGTCGGAAGCACTCGGAGAAAATTAACAAGAAGTTTAAAAAAATATCCACGGATCTATTTTATAGAGCTCGTCTCAATGCTAGACTGAATACTCGCAGTTATCCTGATAGAAGCCTTAGTTGTGAGACTGTGTACCTACCCAAACGTTGCCGACAGCGAATTCGTAAATTATTCTTTTTCTTGACGTGCACTTCGTATAAAGCACCGAGGCGTTGGTCAAAGACCGACAAGATATCGGCCAGCGTTTTTATACCATAAACATGTCCAAACTACCAGCTTTTTAAGAAGAAATAGCTTAACGCCAAATGTATCACACATTTTTTCTGTAGAAGGTATGTGATATTAAAGTATTGCACTGCGTTTTGTTATAACTGAGACAACATCGTATACGACAAGTAATTTCGCAATGTTTGTGTGCGAAGAGAGTCGAGACGTCAACTACCTTCTTAACGGAGCGGCCCGAGGCATGCACACAGAAGGTAAAAATTAGGAAAGGTAGGCCATGGTCAAACACAAAATGCTCGAGAAGTAAAACCCTACGGTGTTCAGCAGTAAAAAACAGCTTTAGCCCCCTTGGAGGTAAACAGTCTACTTAAAAGGCTCAGACGAGGCACATATAATCGGAGTAAAAAGACGTCTGTTATATTTCCACTTGTGGCTGGGGAAGGCACCACGTTTAAATACGGCATGGAACATCTACCTGAACAGCATATTGGCGTCGCTTCACTATGTTAACTGCTTAATGCCATTCCTAACAATATCCCTCTGCACTTACTCAGTCTGAGATGCACAGCACTTGGAAAACGCAGTTGAAAACACAATTCACGGGGAGTTCAAAACCCAACTAACAAATCATCAAGTCCGGATTATGTACAAAACGAATATTTCAAGCAAGCAAGTGTCTTGGATCCGTACTGGAACACTCGCTTTTCCATCTAAATAGCGCAAGCATACAGAGGGCATAGAAGCAGTGCTTCTCTTCTCAATTCCTAAGAGTAAAAAATCAACTACAGACCTATAATTAACGTGTGTTATGATAAAGAGCGGTAATATCACTGTAATACAAAAACACTGTCAGATGAACACCGCGAATTCCGAGGAAAGCAGTCCATATTATAGGTGTGCCTAATATTTTTAGACAATATTAACATTAATAATAACATTATTAAGACAATATATACATGTAATATACCATATGCATGTAGACTTCATTTAGTTCCGCCTTACGCGCTCAAAATTGAATTCACATATCGTGGGCATGTAAGGCTCGAAACATAGAGATATTATAAAGAGAAACTGACTGATACTAGCTCTGCGTTTTGTAATGGATACTCATATAACAGAGATAATGAATAGAATACCCTAACAATGTATAGATATAAGTGGGAAAATTTGTCTAGTAATTGTTTCTCGATTCATAGCTTTTCTCGTTTACCTTTCAAAACCCACGGCATGTATGATACATAGTTTTATAATTAGCGGGTATTATCGTTTTTCTTAATTTTGGAAACGAATATAAAATAATAGGTAACTGACAGGATTAATAATGATCTGTTTTCGATACGCCTTGTAGGCGGTTATGCTGTCTTTTTGACATGGACATTTAGTTACTTTTTACCTGACAGGAGTAAAAATAAAAATAACTAATAAAAAAATAATTTTTTTAAATTTATTTTTTATTAGTTATTTTGATTAGAAAATTGTCACTTCTATAAGTGACCACATTTTTAGTATTTGCAATTAGTTTCTATTTTTGCCCCAGACGTCTTTTTTAGAACGTCGGCGAGCTGCAAGGTGGCTTCAAGTCACTGAAAAGTTTACGTAGCGACTACGCTGTGTATCCAAATAACGCTTATTACAAGTCATACATTTCAGCCGAAAAACAAACAACTTTCTTCATAGATAGTGTCTGCATACAATATGTTAAGCCAAAGACCTAAAATTATGTGCACATTTTATTCACATAATATTTAAGTGGGAATTCGTCAAATGTGAGTGAAAAAAAAATACTGTTTGTTTTTAAGTTGCATTCAGATGAAAACATTTATTTTTTTTAGGTAAATCGACAAAGACATTGCAACGTACTTATTCAATATAGCTGGGATTTGCTGCGAAAACGCAATCCGCCTGCGAGTTCTGCAAACTTCTGAGACTAACTTCCTACTCGGAATTCGCGAATTTTTTCGTGTCGCTATATTGATACGTTTAAACTTGTTAACATTACGGTTAAAGATGTTAGAGACAGCGTATTTCTTTTCAGACTGTTAAGCTTATGTCTGAACACCCTCGACCTTAAGACCTTCGGTGGAAGCTTAAATAATTGGAAGCTAGTTTTGGACTTCGTTTGTGACGGTTTCACTATCACGAAGGAGGCGGGGCGATATGACTTTTAGGATATGTGAAGTAGATCTTAAATTTTGCGGCGTTCGTATTCTTATAGAAAAAGCTTACCAATTCTGAATCGAGATACCGATACTGTTAAATAGGCGTCTTTACTTATTTTTTAATAGATGTTTGTCCTTTACTGTAGATTATTCGCGTTGGCGTACTGAAATCTTATCCAATTCCCCGCGAGCTGTATGAAACCGACGATTGCGTACCGTCAATTTGTAGCAACTGAAAAAATGTATAATGTTAGCGAAGGCTAGTCTTCACTCATATTCTAGTCTGGTCTTTTGTATCTTCCATGATGAGTTTGTAATCTTGTTCAACTACAGAGAGAACTAGGAACGACCTATACGTTCGTTAACTTATATACTGGTTCTAATATATTTATCGACAAAGTGCAGGGCATTTGCAGTAACGACATCTGCTCGGTGCTCTATTTGGTCTGGAACCACTTTTGAATCTTAATGGGCACGGTAGCATCGTAGCAGTTAAAAAAGCTGCATTCGGCAATATAGATTGGCTTTACAAGCCAAATGTTTGCAATTGAGGACTGACTCATACTTCTGCAAGGTTTCAATAACTGAGACCTAAAGGAAAATACCAAAGAAGCAACCGTTTACCCATTAGTAGACGGCTAATTACAGCGATGACTGTAGGACAATACGATGCACAATAGTGTCGCTGAAAGAATTCCCCATGGTACAAAGCGGGTAACGCTGGATCGAAAGTATAGTAACAGCACCGAAAAAAAACAGAATTAGCAAATATGCGTGATATATATTGCAAAATTGACTACCTTACCGCTAGTTCGAAGAATGGTTGTCAATAGGGAGTCTACTTTGAACCCCATTGTGCCCTTTTGCGAATTACAGGATAATTAGAAAGGATCATGGAGCTGCTCTGACATGCTATATTTCCATCTTTAAAACGGATCAAAGGGTAGGATCAGACTAAAAGGAGCTTCTAAGTGAATTGGATTAGGGAATATAGATTTTATTAAGAATGTAGATAGTCATAAACATTAAGAGAGACATTTTGGTATTATAATTAACATGTCGTCCAGTTCGCAACCGAATTGAAGAAGCTTTTTCATCAGCCGTGTCATAAGTACAATAAAATTCAACTGCATACAATTTATGACAATGTCTGTAGAAAGCGCCCTTTGAGATCGGCGAGTACTTGTGACCGTTGCGGTTGCCTGATGAACGACCACCTATTTGAATTTAGTTTCGTACGAATCTTGCATAGTCGTTTGCATACTTACCATTTGTGTTGAAGTGGGATTTCTGCTCAAGAAAATCTTCAGAAGAGGCATTTTAACGTGTAGATACAGTTTATGCGCAAACGATATAGAAATCTAGAAGGAGTATTTTAAGCAGTTGTAGTTTGAACCTGCAATGTATTGGTTTTCAATAAAGAGGATCCTTAATTATTCTATGGCCACGGCAAAGCCGAATCTGGTGGAATGGAAAAAGCATTAGTAATCGTAAGAAATGATTACATATCAAATGATTCGAACACTTGTTATCAGTAGATTGACATCTACAACAACGAGCGGCTACTTTCGCTACATTTCCGTAGCTGTTGTAGAAACACTGATAACATGTAAATCACCAAAATTCTGTTAATGCTTAAGATTAAGCAAGGTTTAGTAATTCATACATCAACTTTTTCCTAGCTGTTTGAAATTTCTGAATTTAATAGTTTGTGAAATAAAATACATGTAGTAGTCTGGACGCTGCTACACTTTTGTGCCTTTTTACAAGTATCATCAGAACCGTTGCCCCATGGTTTTTGAATCTGGTTTGAGATGTTGTTTTTAGATGTGCACATTTGCTTAAAAGCCTTTCTTCGCAGTAGAGTCATTTGTATTCATAGAATGAAAAATTTGCAATCTGGGCAACCAAGCAATACCAGTACGCCGGTACCTAATGTCATCCCGCAACTAAAAATATGTGACAAGTCTTGTATCGGTTTTTACAGTTTACTCAGCTCGCACACAAAACAATTATTTTGAAAATGCTGCTTTGATATATACACACAATTTGTAGACGTGTCTATACATTTGAAAAGTAAGTACAATATTTACATTTGCATTGTTTTGATCTTAATTTTTCAGCCCATCGTACCTGTTTGGAACGACTTTGGCAATGAGCAGTTTGTGCGCTCTTCGTATGTTTCAATCACCTGCACGGTCTTTTTGCGCTCGCATTGTCGCTCTTCTTGGAGTGTCTTCCCCTCTGACACTAAAGCCAACTCTTGGTCCTGTGTCGTCTGGCGCCGTCACGCAAACGCGTCAGCCTGTCCTTTCATCGAGCTCTAGCGATTCTCGGTGGACGTCTCACGAAAACGACTTTGACTATTTGGACGAGATAGCACTGTGCTGCGCTGTAATGGCAATCAATGGAAGACAATTTGTTTTAAAAAGTTGCGCAGGCCAAGACAGGTATGGGAATGATGGAGATGTTGGTGAGCAGAAATCTTTGCGCGATTTGGCGGAATGGTTAACTCAGAGGAGGGCGCAAGTTCCAATGAACGCTGGAGTGGCAATCGCGCTTGGTCTTATATTACACAATATGGCACAGTGTGATGCTGCTACTAAAACACTCCTATCACAACAAAGGATAGGACAACTACAAGATCAGGTATGAACTTTTAGGAAAGTATGATTTTCCGCACGTAGGTTTATGCAACGAATGATGGAAGCGGCTTATATGTTTGGTTCATGATCGCCAGCATCACTCGCTTGCTCACCATTTTTCAAACATGAAAAGTACATTCTTTGCTTAATAGTTGAAACGCATATTCCACTCAACCTTCAGTAGCTGTAAAATTCGTTTTTACACATTTTTTTTTTTAAGTAAAAACGAGTTTAATTTATACAAGGTGCAAAAATAATGTCATCGAACCGATTGATTTAAAAGAGGATTTCCTTACATTTCTAACACATAGGGGGTTCCAATTATTAAATACCATACCATACCTGCTTCGCATGATTTCATATTTCTCTATCTAAATCGAACGCATTTCTTAATCACACACTGTGCCTTGTCCTAACCCAAGTCTTTGTTGCTTCTCCATTAACAATTTGCCTGACTTCCCAAGTCAGTAACGTCTAAACGTGCCAAAGGCTTGCGTTTGATCTTCAGCACATAAGACATTGGGTAAGGATCTGTTCTCCCTTCATGTTAATCTTTTTTGTGTGCCCGAAATAGCTTCTGCAGACGACTCTGGATATTGATTGAATATTACTGACACAATATTGCTTAACGTTGAAGTCACTGTTATAATGGAAACTTACTGATCATTCCTGAACGTCACCAAACAGTAGCGCAGCACAAGTAGGTTTCTTGATGCCTCTGTATTACATATTTACCTTGCCTCTCGCGGCTTAACTTCTCTTTATTCATTATTATTATTAAAAAAAACTTTACTTTTTTAAACAAAAATGCCACGAAACATCACAAGTTACATTTTTTCCGAATCCTTAATGTATATGTTGAAAAGTATGTTCAAGTCGAATAAAAATACAATTAAATGATAGCGCAGAAAATGTCCTTGCTTGAAGTAAGGCGTCACAACTGGCTGTAAGCGCAACTTTTAGGCTGAGTAAGTAGATAAAACGAATTTGTAATGACATTATTGACTCGATCACTTTGTACGAGATGTCGAAAGTACGAGGGAGAGAGAGAGAGAGAGAGAGAGAGAGAGAGAGAGGGGAGAAATGGTACGAGAGTCATAAAATTTCGATCAAGCAAACTTCGTCTATCGTCGGTGTTAAAAAGACTTCCAGAATAGAGATGCTTTGTCAAGATTGATTCTTTTAGTTAGGCAAAATACAGTTAAGTTAAACAAACGTGTATGTCAAGGATTTTCTTGTCGACACACGCAAAAAACGTGCACTACAATGCAATTCACGGACGAGCGATATGAAGATTGTTTCTGCATGTCACTGCCACTCCGTGTTATTATGTCACCATGCACATATTCGCTATAATCTACCAGAGGTTTCTAAGGCGTTTGCTGAACTAAGTTATTGGTTGAGCCCAAATAATTAACTCGGTATCAGTAATGTGGCTGTACCATTATGTTTGGTAACGACCAATTTGTATTCAAGCTTTAAACAATTTTAATTAGCGAGTCGATTTCGGAGCAAATATGTCGTCTAGCAGGCGAACAAACGAATTTAACTGTAAATGTATCAATGGCTAACGCTTAAGCTTTGGCAGCTCTGTAGGCTACCAGTGGCAGGACTAGATTCTTATGTCCCTTCTTTAGAAACCGGTATATGAAACATTAAATCACTGCAGTTCCAATTAAAATCACGTCTACGATTTTCGAGTAGACTGCTATTAGGTTTTCCGCAAAAAAAATCGAGTAATTGCTAAGGTCTACAGGGAATAAATTCGATATCATTTAGCGTAAATCGACTTGGCATAACACACTGACAAGCTTAACACAAGAAGGTCCTTATTATACCTCATTTATCTGAATGAGTGGGAGCATATTAATATCTTCCAAATTCGGTAAAATGTGCATATAGAACATGTGAAACCACAATTCGTCCGAACGCGCTAGTATCGAAGTCCTTAGTTGACTCAGTGGTTATATGACAGTTAGTTTCATGATATTGTAGGTAACAGTATTTAAAGATGCACGCGTCGATTGGTTTGTGATAAGTCTGAATTAAAAAAAAATGTTGTGAAATACGCGCGTTACATATTTATCGAGCACCTAACAATTTGTTCTCCACGTATCCTTCCATTCGTTACCAGTCACTGCTTTTGTTTCAATATCAGCCATTTTGTTCCTATAAGACAATAGTCTTTTTTAAAAAACTTTCGGGTTTTGAATAGCCTACTCCTTAAGGGGGGGGGAATAGAGCTCCTTAAGGAAAATGTGCTTGCCAACAGGTGCACACGCCGGTCTCTAGTGGTAAGGTGGAGGTCCATGATTCGTTTAAGAAGGCCAGGCCTGACTCTGTGTTGATAAATGGGCGGCTGATATGTTTTCCTGAAAAAGGAATGTGAACCGTAAGAAGCCGTCGGCGATACCTTAATTTGAAACGGCTCTAGCGCAGCCTTTAGTAATAGGCTTTGGGGCTCCGTACTCAATGTTGCTACTAGCGCCTCTTTCGATATGTGCTGCAAGCAAATTTGCGCTTCTTGGAAGCTTGACACCCACCCACGTACGTAAATATATCTACGTAAAGTCTGCCTTTTAAGTGGAAATATGTATGATTAGGCTAACTGTTCTTTCCGTCGGAACTTCACAACTTCTGTGTTTGTGCTAGAGGTAGAAGCGATTGGTGCTGTATGTCCGCGTACCTTATGGAGTTTCCGAACAGACGTTTATTTTGTCCATCAGAGAAAATCGGTCACTAGCAAGCAGCTAAATACTGAGTTTCGGCTCAGGGCGAAACTATCCGTCTTTAGGGGAGGCTTATCCTTTTGCCATGCCTATAAAATTGCTCTTAGTATATTTAGCAGCTTCCCTGAGATGTACGCCAGTTTTTCAAATAGATGCATTCGTGACCCTCAGCCGGCGGCAGTCTGCGAATCAACAAGTAAACTTTAGCTAAATGTGCTTTTTGACGACTTCTATAAATATTAAGCATGATGATATGAGGGATGTTCCAAAAAATGTGCTGCTTGCCAAACATTATATCGCTGGAACGATCTTTTGCACTGTAAAGTCGCCTCACACATTTTACTTGCCAGTACCATTCTTCGATCAGACACTCGAGAACGCGGGCATGTCTTGGGAAAATTTGCAAGACACTAGTATTTTTTCGAAATAGTCCTTTGGATTCTCGGGGCGCACAGAGCGAATTCTCCGTGCGTTCCGTAACCAGAAATTCGATCGTGTTTTTGTTTGACGTAAAATTTACCCTTCTTTAGGGAGCGCCTGCAAAGCGCTTTTAGCGAAGAGCAGCAGTTGTTCATTAATAACAACTGCCAGTTCCGTCACTGCCAGCTTTTTTTTGTGTTCATCTCTTATGCACTACATTGCGGCGGTTTTACTAAAAAATTGAAAAAAAAAATCATTGACCGGCTCGATGTCCGATGTTTTCGAGTACAGTGACGTAATGAAGGCCGTTTCTTAGAGACGACTTTGTCTAAGCTGGTTCGCCGCTGGGAACTTCTTTTTGCGAGAGTTTGTGGTCTCATTTACAATGATATATATACCCCAAGCATCTTATGAGAAATTGACTCCTCTCTATTTGCTTATGGTCTTGGCCGGTGAAGTTTGTTACTATAATATCTATCACCGAATAGCTTATAGGCTCGATAGAAGTTAAAAGTAAATTTTCATCGCCTTCTGCTCAAAAACTTAGGTCCTCTAAATCGAGTGACATAAATGTTCGATTGCCTATTCTCATACCTACCGTTGCGTTAAGGTCTCCAGCTATAGGTGGGATACTCTGTCAATCTAGGAGGCTGATGTGTCGAGTTAGGTTTTCAATGAGCTTTGTCATATCGTATGCTCGGGTGGTCTAATGTGCATGACAACAAACCGCAAATATGCTCCCTTCAATAACTGTGCAGTTGTTTTCTGCCACCACTACTTTCGTTTTACTAACGCGGTGTTCATACAGTGCTGATAAACCACTGCTCGGGCAGCCCGGTGAATTTGTAAGTACTGCTAAGCACTAATATTGTAGTACCCTTAGATCTTAAATAGTGTGTGTGGGCCTCTGCCCTTCGGTAAAGATTAGTATATCAAGCCGTTTGAAGGTCTAGTTACAGGGAGCTTCATTGACACGTTTAAATTCTCATGATTCCATTGTACAATTCTTCGTACTTTCTCCTGATTTGCGTTTGATATGTGAAGTTGTCCACGCGTTCCATTATCTGTGGTACCATATCGTAGATATTCGGTTTCTTCAAATCTTCGGTGCAAACAACTAGATCGTCCCTCTGTCGTACCTTTCGCTGGCCCTTGCGGATACACTTCTGTACTTATTGTTTTTGTATTTCTTGCCGTCAGAATGCTTGCTTCTGTCTGAGTCGATGTTGCTTGTACCAGCATTGTTCGCAGGAAGCGTATTCGTGTCTGTACCAGCTTCGCTTCTAAAGGTTTACTGCCTTTAAAGAAAGTGCGGTATGCTACGCTCTTGCCTTTGCAACCACCTGGCAGTTCCTAGAATTGTTTGATACGAATAGTGATTCTTGTGTACTGTCGCACTTTGTGCCGGCTGCATTCGGATGTTGTAAGTTTTCTATTCTAGTTTCCTGGATATCAGCTTGTAACATAAACGCCTTGCAGATTGTTATAATCGTTAGATTTGAGTCTCCTGAGACTTGCGTAGTCTGGAATACTGTTGTTGGATTATTAACCGATCTTCGAGGAAGTTCTCGACCCCCTTTGCGATTAAAGTTACATCGTGCTTGGCACTGATTCTAACCTGCGTTAGCCAATTATTTTCTTTAGACAACGAAAAGGTTTGCTTTCGATAGAAAATTCGATCAAAATTCAACAAAATTAATATTTGTAGTATATACTTGCTCTAACTGGTTTTAAAACTTTAACTAGGGAAATTTTCATGCAGGTCTACTTCAGAGTTGGCTTTTTATCTACACTGTGCCCAATGCATATTGACTTCAATGAAGCACGTTTGGTTTATATAAAGTGGGCACTCTCGATATATATACATGTATATGTCATTTGTCGCAATATCTAAAATTTCAGATTAGGGAAAAAAGCCAGTGATCTTTGTATTGTTGTTTCTTTAGTAAACCTTCGAGCTCGTCAACCGGATTTTCTCGTCATATTAACGCAGAGCACATATTAGGGTCGGAATTTCGATTAAAATTTCCCTAGGTTCTGCGTCCAAAAGTGCGTCAATGTTACATTAGTCAGATGAGCTCCTGCCCGGAAGTCCAGTAATCAAACATAGAGCGAAATGAACCGTTGAAAATTAGTATTGTGAAACCATAGCACGGCACCTTCATGTGTGCGTCTATGACGTTGTCAGCATATTGTTCGCACATTTAAGCCTAACGTGGCAAAGCTATTTCGATTTGCATATTGCTAAATGTTTGCGGATGATTTCAGCATCGGCGCACCACAAATTTCATCAATACTGTATACGAATTATTTGTGTGATCGGCTTGATTTTGTGCAAAACGGATTCCTCCACGCCATATATTCTTTTTATCCTGTTCCAGACACTAGCACTGTGCAAATTAGGCCAATATTTTAGTATCTTCAGCCTTCTCGTGATTTCAGGCTTTTTTGGCACATTGCAGTCTTTCCGCTTATGAATTAATCCGTAGTTGTTTTGCAGACTGCTCATCCTGTTTTCGGATACAATTGAGGCTACAGCCCCTCTTGTTGCAGAAACAACCAGAAGTTGACCCGCGGACTTCTGTTCTGAAAGACAACTTTCCTTTGCACACTTTTATTTATCTGTTCTAGTTGTAGTTTAATATTTGTTATGATTTTTATATATAATCCTTAGGACTGTAAAAAATTTCGTACGGAAGTGGCAGTGAAAGCCGCTTAGGGCCAGGAAGATAACCCACTAATTACGGAGCACATATTCATTGTAAATTCGACTGAACTGGCTAGCTTTATGTATATAATCATTATTATAGCACTGGCTACCAAAAACAAAAGTGTATGTTACAAACTTCCGCACGTATAATCGAGCTCTAGGAAGATCATATTGATGTCATATAAGATCGATAGATCATCACGGAAAGGCGTGTACTACTTCGAGGTGGAACTCGTGACCCGACACCTTTGCAAAAACCTTAATTTTTGAATAGCTTCAAGGAAACGTAAACATACTTTTTTTAAATCACCTTTCGACCTCTTTTTACTTATTAATTTATGTATTTAATTAATCTTTGTCGCTCTTACATTTTATTGATCCTCAAATGCATATAATAATAGGCATGTTTTTTTTTACAGCAAAGGTACAGCAATTGTAGTTAGTAAAGAAGATCTGTCAATGTTGTTGGCTATTCTGTTCAGCCTATGCCAATTTTTTTCTTTCCAATGGTGTCAATCTGCGGCACTTTAACGTGCTCTTAATGCTAAGGTTTTGCTTTTTATTGAAGCTTGTGGTCAAGCACATCATATTATAATCCACAAAGCCAAGTTTCCTAATCGAGGCCGAGACCCTTTGGGCCTATATCCGCGAGATGCCAAAAAAAAAAACTATCCCTAACGAAGGGCCAAGTCACTTCGAATTTGCTCGTGTTGCGCCTATTAGATCTCGCTGAGCTATCAGAAAATATGCTCTGAAATATGGTTAAGATTGCGATAAGTTGACTAAAAGAATCGACATAGAGCAGGTAACAGGGTGAGCTCAACAGGGTACCCTAAACAGTTGCGCTTCTCGTTCCTCTCCAGCAAGGACAGTGTTTTATGAAGGTAAATTTTTACGCCGACGATATTGAAATACGCAGAAAGACTAAATTGCACTTGAAAATACTTCCAAGTTCGAATTCGAGCGTGGACATGCTCGTTTCTCGTCGTGCTGGAGGCCAATTGTCTGATGGAATGCCTTACGGCAGTATCGAACTTAAAAGAAACACTTAGCTCTTTAGATTCCATCGCGAGGATGAAATTAAGAAGCCCATGATAGCAGCCGCAACTATCGAGATCTGTATTTAAATAAGGACGGATGCATGTGTCATTATATCTTTAGAAATTATTGGTGGACATTTCGGCGAAATTATTCAATTAAAGGAGCATAACAATTATCATTTACGGTATTTAAATAATTTGGGAGAACCTATGCGGCCTAATGATTTTATAATTGAACCTGCGTTCCGTAAGCTAACATTTGGTGTTCACGCTTGACCGCCTACTATATGTATTGCCCGACACTGCACCATTCATCGAAAATATCTGCAAGATGTTTGATCTCCTCAAAACAGTAGAATATCTCATCATCATGGACACGCACAGGTTAAAGAGCATGGAAGTAAATTTTTTGCTCTTTCTGACGCTGAAAGTTCTAATGATTGGTTGGGAATGTCCAAACAGAAATATTTTTCTAATTTCTGAAACCTAGCATATCATAGGATGGGAGCTGCATTTGCAAATATTGTCAGACCAATAACAGTCGTTATTATTCAGAGTAGTATAACATTATGCAATCCGTTTTGACAAAGCTAAGAAGTTCCTGTTTGCTTATCACTTCGCCATATTTGCACATCTACATGTATATTTATAAAAACAAATATGACTGACACACCAAAAAATGACTGAGTTCAGGAAAACATGAGAGATTTAATTTTCAATTATCATACATCCGGTCTTTGAAATTATATTCAAATATGTATTGAGACTCTTTTACAATTGCTTTTGAATTTCTTAAGACAAGAGCGTAACTGTAAATGTGTCCAGTACAATAACGGATTAACTAAAATTAGGTAAAAATTTGATATCTCCAACTAGGTAATGGGAAGTTTGAATAAGATAGCGTTTTTACTGAAGTGGAAGAGCAGGTATACACACATTTAAACCTGAAATTGCCACCATGCTCGATTGATCGATTTAAATGCGATATATTATTTTTATGTATCTTAGTAAATTAATAGACTATAATCACTAGCTAATGCATGGGCTTCACTTCAATTTTTGTACAGATAACTGGTGCACATGACCCAGCCTCGAGGACGAAAGCTGGACATATTGAGAGTCACCGTCTGGTAGAAGCCCTACTAACAAAGGTGTGGTTACCTGTGGTTGCAAACGCCCACGAATCAAATGGTCACAAAATCGCGGCCGTCGAGGGTATTGCCGCTCTTACCGGAGCTCTAGACCATCTCATAGTGCAAGTAAGAGCTTTTCAAGAGTTAATTTAAAACCTAACTGCATTTTTTCTGTGCGATGTCTTAGTACTGTTAATAAGGCAAGCCGCATTATTTCTTTCAGTTGCCAAAAAACAGTACCAATCCATTCTGCGGTTATTGTCCTCACAGAATTTGTCGTGATACAAAATCTTACGATCATAAAACACAAAGACTTGAAATATATAAACTAATTAATTAGATTCAAAAAGATTCGAAGCACCCAGAAGGAAGGTTCCCGGCTTTTTAAGAAGGCAATTAATACTTTACACTGATATTGAATGGTCAAGTCCAGGGATCTTATTTTAAAACAAATATTTGTAAAAACGCTTTTTCAGGCATAGCTCTTTGCATAAATATAACAACTTTATTTTCACACTGCAGTTTTTGCCCTTTCGATCAAAGCACTCTAGCGTAAATATTTTATGGGGTAATTAAAATATGCATTGGTGATTTGCGAAAACATATCAGAACTAAGGTTCTAGATATATAATTTATTTAGCATGTAGTGATCGTAATATCGGATCAATCGCTTAATATCATCATTTAAGGCATTTGGCTTTATGGATGACTTATCTTTTTTATTTGTTACTGTACCAGGTTTACGGATCGACAAAAAATATACCACATTTAGCCTTCAGAAAGTGAGGATAACTCAATCAAGTATCAAAGCGTTTTTCCGAACTATAAAGCATAGCCAGTGTTTTGCATATTGGCAGGTCAACAACTTTTTTAGGCGTTAGGATTGTAGCGAATAATTACATACCCTAATTAATTCTTTAAAACACTGTTAAGCAGATTTCAACTAAAAAAGGGGTAAGATCATTGAATATAATTCTGTAGGACTGTGTAAAAATCAAATTGAAAAAACAAATTGCTTTGGTGCAAAACTATGTGGCTGTCACGGGGAAGGAAGTGGGCAAAGCAGTTATCTAGAAATTTGAATCTCCACACCAGTCTTGCTTTAGGAAGTAATTGAGGCATGGCGTTGTCATCAAGTATCCAGATTACGTAATTTTGAATACCGTGTCAACGGTCCACGACTCCCTTGAATAACTCGAAACAGCGGGCTGTACTTGCTGTTAATTTTTGGCGAGTGTTTCAGCAGATACCCCTGCTGCCATTCCAAATACCATCTACACCCTCACATACTCGACATTACCACTAAACTCGGATTTCGCTTTAAGGCAACACCGTTCTCTCGCCTGGTCCCTCTCTGACTGGCGATAGGGATTGAATTCTCGTCTATGGTATGCTTTTGAGATTCGGCAGAATGTACGTGGATTACACCACACTCGTACACCACACACACACACCTTTTAGGACACGGGAAATCCATTATTTAGTTGGCATCCGCATTTTGATTATTTGGGTCAATTTTACAACTCGTTAAATGTGAAATGCCGGCTTTGACTAATAAAGCCCGTAGAATTTAAGCGTCAACACGTCCTTATCCTTTAGGTCTTGACATATGATCACCTCCTCACTGATTGTCAACACCCCGATTTCCGTTTGTGGAACGTTTGGAATATTCCGTACTGTATTTCCGATTAAAGCCACTTTGCCTAATGTCCTTAATCTTCGGTGAATTTCCGTAACGCTATAACCTCCGGGGAACAATATATTGATTTTTGAGATGTAAACTCAACCGGTTTTCACCTATTTTTTAGAAGGTTGGGGTATTTACTGGCTTTCTGGCAACTTGTTAATTCGCGATACATCTGTAACAAGGTATTGCTCAATTGCAGACTGACATCTTCACAGGAAACCGGTTTACACCCCTGTTGTCTTGATAGGGTTATTATATCACATTGTTACCCTACAAAGATGATTGCCCAATAAGTAATCCTTTAATGCACTACATGGATTCTGAAAAATAATCTCAAAAAATACTTTAAAAAATAATTTGAGCTTTACTGCAAAGCTGTCAATCAAATAACTCATTTCAAGCCGTGCGCGTGACTCCAGTTTCAAGACTTTACCTAACTGGGACACAATGGCCTTCTACAGTTATTCCCGTTCTTCCCTAAACTAAGGTTAACAGCGTTTCTCCGCTACAGTTACATTTGCGTAACGTATTAGCAATATTTATTCAAATGTCCTGTCTTTTCATTGGAGTATTTCAGTCTTCTGCTGTAACTCTGGTTTCATTAGCCTGTTCCAATATCTGGTCATCCTAAAATTATTTCTCGATTGCAGACCGATACTTTTCTAGGCGCCCGTTGTAGTCTTCCTAGGACCATGACGGCCACTGTTCTACATACTTTTTTCATATGATAATTTAAAAACACGGACACAGCTTCAGTTGTATAAGTAAATAGATATAATAGCTTTTATTACCAAGTTTTCACTGCCGAATCACTGCGTACTGCTGCTTTCTTAGCCGAATTGTTACTGTATCCAGATATTGCAGTGAACTGACATCACGCGTTATATAATTTCTTTTGAAGAAAAATTTTTATTCAAGGGGTTTTCTTTCTTTTTTTATTCTCTGAAGGTCACAGTGCTATGGAAATTTATGGAAATTTTAAAAACTTTAGGCATAAAAGCACTAAACGGAAGCACAGTACAGTGATACGAATGTTTCAAGAACAGATGGAAGTGTTGACGACGCATGAAAAATCGAGCAGATGTAGTAAAATAGATATCATGACGTAAAGGACAAGAACGTACTGCCGCAATTGAAAAGAGTTTTTACAAAGGTAGAGTGTGGGGTCTGAAAATTTTGCCGGCCAAAACTAGCATTTCGTATGCAACATGTTATAAAATTATAACCCAAAAATTAAAACTTAAAGTTAGTAAAAATTGATTCTTAATTGAGTTGATTCCAAGCTAGTGAAAAATGCATAGGCGTGTATTTCGCCAAACTTTGAAATTCGCTTGGAACATACAGTCGCCATAGACGAGATATGATTCAATCTCTATTGCTAGCGGGAGAGGGACCAAACGAGAGAACAGTGTCGCCGCGGAAGGCAGTCGAAGTTTGGTAGCAGTATGGAGTAGGTTTGGACATGAAATAAGGCCAGTATTTGTGATGTACATCAGGGTATTTTCTACTGAAATAATGAATATAGCCTGCTATCTCAAATTTATCCAAAGCCTTACAGATTACAGCCACGGCAATCGAAAGCACGCAATTTGAATACCTGATGACAATGCCAGACCTCATCTGTCAACTATTTCCTGGACTGAGCAGGAAAATGTCCCACGTTGGATGAGAAGGGCAATTGGTAGGCAAGCATATTCCACCATTGATTTACTCGGATTTACGAGGAGTAACTCTAACACATTAAAGTTGCTAGCCGAACTAGTTGAAAAATTCAAGTTGCTTGCAATAGCCTACTAATAAAGGCAGATGTAGACCCCCTACGCTAAATCGGCCCAATTGGGCACCTACGCTTTGACTGGGATTCCGTATCGGTGCATTGGAAAGGATGATTCCTAGAATATGTTTGTATATATTCTACTACTCTACATTTTACAAAAAGTCTTCCAACTTTTGTAGCCCATTTCACTTCATTGAATATTTTCCGGACTGTGGGGTGTCTCCGGGCAAACTGGCATTCTGAGATACCTTACAGACATCAATAGATACTCCAAAAATTGATACACCTCATGTTACAGTTAATTTTGTGGTAGGCTTGATTATTGTAATGATGAAAAAATCTTTGTCTAGTAATTTTAACTAACAACAAAACATAGACTAACATTGACGAGCATATCATATTTCGTCGATATTTTTGCTGATCGTGCCTATTGCCTTCTGTCATTTAATCAAATGTTATAACGCTTTAAAATTATTTTATTAATTATTTTATCGGTCGCTTAGATACCTTAACCTCAATGTATTTATTATAGTTTCAGCAAGCATATCATCATCACAGCTATTATTCTAGGGACACTTTCTGCAAAGTGGGTTGATTTTACAGTTATCTAGCCATATTATACTTTTTGGTGATGAATTGTCTAAATAAAAGGATATAGGGCGTTTGTCAGAAGCCGAAAAAGTAAAGCACGGACGATTTTAAGTTGATTATGAAACCACTTGTTCCGTTGTTCAATCAGTAACATGTATATGGCCAAGAAAATGTAATGGTATTTTACCTTTCAAAATCGACTTTAAAGCGTGTAGATGACCCCAGGGGCACGCCAAGGCAGATTCTCAACTATGCAGCAAATTCTTAAGCTGAATGAACCAAACACTTTCAAAGAGTTTGCAGTTTGTTCTAATTTTGCTCTGTGTAAACGTTTGCGAATCTCTTCACTTGCATTCAACTTAATTATCATGTACGTATTTAAAATCCTTGCTATCCCAGAACGGAGGAGGGAGCTTCTTTTACCCTGAAAAGGCTGTGTCGCATATCGATTTCTATTGATCCCTGCAAATATGTAAATTGTGCAGCAGACATCCAGCTAGCTTAACGAAGAGGGACACAAAGTGGTACCAAAATGTGTATAAGTATCATATTATTTAAAAATTGTCGGAAGTTTCTGAGATTATATATCTACGCTCAAATATATTTAGATGTCCGATAATTCGAACTAAGTTCCTCAGGAATCTGAATATTAAAATTGGACATCGGTAAAAGAAACTATCCGTTTGAATAAGGTAATGAAGCGTCGAGCCACGTGACAGACGTCATTAAGTGAAACGCATATTCTTTGAAAACCGCTGCACCGACTAAAATAGTTAGGACAGATAGGTGCAGAAGAGACTCTGTCCTGTTTTGTAATAGTTAGTTAACTGAGATTGAATAGTATTGAGAAGTTAACGAAATGCTAAATTATTCAACTAGATTATTGACTTCTATTATAGAGGTTTTATTAACAACTTTATTTATAAAGTTGTTAATAATATTTGCATTTTTGTCATAGACCTAGAAGATTACTGTTTCGTCTGGCACCAATCGAGTGGTATGTCGGGTGATTTACAACGCTATTCAAATAGCTGTAGAATATTAGCATTTTTGATACAAGTGTCTTGCTGATGTTCGAAAGATAGTCGAGATTCTTCTAGCGCGATACTAGATACTAACAGGTGTCAACACCTGTTGAGATCGTTGACCATAATCCGTGGTTATATCTAGTACAGGATGGTTCTAGCCATAAAAATAGCTCACTTTGCAAATCTCAACGCTTCTGCCCGTGTCTATAAACACCGTAAGTTGTTTCAGAGCATGCTAGATATGTGTTCTACCACATGTGTGTTCAGCTGAAAAAGTATGCATTTTTTAGATGACATATATGATCGGAAGTAGACGGAGAAATGCCAAATGGATGGCAAGGATACGATCTAATAGTCATATTACTAATTCAAATTGTAGAGTTATTACAATAAAATTCTAATAAATAAATTTGATTATAATACCAAAAACGGTTATCTGGTTCGCTGTTAGCAGCTTTCTAATCATTTTCTGGTCATGATATCGTATGAAACATTTTGGGCGTACACCCTCCGCCCTTGAAATATCCTGCTCTTTACTGATGAAATTCAATAACACATGGCACACCACAACATCTAGGAGTTAAGTGAATCACTACCGTCTTGAAGCAACAAAGTCAGTGGGATTTGTCGCAAAATTGCTAATTTCTTAATTTATATTCGAGTATAAGGTAATATTAATATTTATTATTACTGTTATTGAATTTTTCATAGACAACAGTCTATTCGAGTCGAGTATACATAAATATATATTCAATTAGCTTGCATGGTTGATGGGCATGTATGGCGGCTTTTCGGGATCCCTGTGTATCAAATAGTTAAACTCAAAAACGTGCCTTGCTACAGAAAACTCATGTAGTTAAGGGGATTCAAGTACATTAAACCGAGATCAGTTTTTTTTTTTTATATTTGAACGCATACAAAAGTAAATGAAAATATTTTACATTTAAGAATGTGATTTCTTGAAAATAAAAAATAGGATATCAATTATGTGTGTTATCCAAATCGATATACATAACTATAGTAGATTCGACTAAAGTTCGACAAAGATATGGTGTATCTTCCACTTCCAATAGAAGAAGTTGGCCTCACCAAATTGTTTGTACCCCCCCCCCCCCTTTAAGTATATATGGACAAATGGGACATTTTACGCAAATGAATAATTCCTGTACAGGGGGATAGATATTTGTGTGCATTTTCAGAGATTAGGATAAATAACCACGATAAACAGATATAAAAAGGAAGGATCTAATTTTGTCTAACGTTCTCAGAATTTGCTAAGATCATAAGAAAGCCAGGTATACCATTGAATACATTTTTATTATTCGCTCTCATTAGATACATTAATTTAATGAAATTAATTCATTGGTAACTGAATAATATGAAAGTATGTAGTCTTGTTTTGTAACAGAGTTCTCAAATGTGCCAATTTAATTCACTAGTAAATTTCGATTGTTGTGATTTTCGGGTCTTTTTAATAACACAAAAAGCACGCTTTATTTTTCCAGATTCCGGGCAGATCTAATCAGACAAATTTCCATTACTTAAACTACGCTTGTTGAAAATAGATAACTTTTCGTGCAGGATCCACTTGTGACGTTAAAACAGCATAGAATACATTTGGATTGTTACCTTGACAGTGTTTCCTCGTACAGTAACTATGGGAAACCAAACAAATCAACAATAACGAGCAGTAATGTTTCTCAGTACACATCTGCGCGTACTTTATCATCTTACTATTTGTACCCACAATACCATAGAGATATATTTTACATGATGTCATAGATATTTATCAGTACAATTAACATTCTCATTTACGCTTCTTAAGCTCTTCAAACCTCCTAGAAAGTTCGTCAAAGTCAACATCATTTCCACTTGTAGATGTTCCCCAATTATCGCTTTGAGGCGTTCCTGTATCTGAACGAGGCACATCAGGGAGATGGGGTATTTCAGGAAGGTCTAAAGTAGACACATCTGGGGGAAACTCGCTTGTGTTTTTACGGCCTGGAACAGAGAAGCCAAACATGTACAACGTAGTTCGAAAACATTAGAGCTAAATTTGTTCAATAGTCATTAATGCAACTATCACGCTATTCAAGAAACATTTCTTCCGTTGTCGGCGAACTAGTAGTCCTAAAACAGTTTGCTGTATTTACACTAGGTTTATTTCATAAAAATGTAAATGACCAGTTATTTTTTTCCAAGATAAGGTGTGATCAGGTTAAGGAAACCTATAAGCGGAAACCAGTTAAGAAGGCTATGGTCGGTTGCACGTGCTTTTTAAAATATTAAGGTCTAGAAGATAAACAAAGAAATTACTAATACCTTAATACTCTTTATACCACGCACTCAGGTGTATTCCATACTCTTATGTCAAGAACTGCGTCGGCATTAAATTAGACTACTGATTTAAAACGAAAAATAAATGTATCTGCTCCAAAAATCTCTATATACAGCAATTCTATCGTGCAGACTAAGTGCCCTAAATGGGCAATTACGTATCGGCTTTATTTTCTAAAAATATTGAGCATTTTAATAGCAATGTGAATCGTAGTTCAACCCGGAACGCCAAAGCAAACGCCCGGGACTCCTTTAATTTTAAATATTTTGAAAACTAAGAACCTTCAAAAAAAATGGACTGGAAAATACTCGATAGAAAAATCATCAATGTGCATACTTCATCAACACAAGAAGGAAGACAATTATATTTTAGAAGCAAAGAAAGTAAAACACATAGCCGCAATTTGGGATGCAGTTAGGGTATATAAGCCTATACACTAGCCTATATATTGCTAATCAACGGCATAGTCCTTCTTAACCCGGTTGCGGTGATAAAATCAGCTGCGGTCAAGAGTGAGCTTCAGGTCACTGGAAATGAGGCCAGAATTTACCGGCCAGATTGTCGATAGAGGCAATCAAATTGAAAGCCAGGTAACCGATACAGGCAGGACATATTCGTCATTCTTGTTGGAGCCGGTCTACTTGTGACACCGTCCTTGAAACGGTTTTCGACCTAAACCGTAAAAATAAACCTAAGCTTTGCGCTTTTTTCCTGGATTTCCTCGACTGTCTTAAAGTTTTCTTCTAGTAAATGTTTCTTGAATTCGAAGAAAAGAGGTTAGATTTGCTGACTTTTGAAATTAAGGCGACACAGGCATCGAATTTTCCTGCAAATGAAGAACACATTCAAACGTTGTCTGGGTCGACGCAATTCGTGATAAAGTACCCACGACTTGTTCTGGGCATGAATATATAATACACAACTGCCCGACACTTGTAAGGAACGGTGAAAAGCATCTTAGCTTTTGACCTCGACTGCCTTCAAACGATATGCGGGCGATTGTACTCTGTCCTCTATCGGTACCTGTGATATATGTATATTAGAGCAAATTCACCTCATTTTTAAGTGCGCTAAAGTTTTCCTGAAACAGTTGTTGACGGATCTGCGTTTGCTCGAAATCTATATTCTTCAGGCTATACTACAAGTCTCCTTGTCCCCGAATAATCCTCAGAATGCTTCGGCATTATGTGAGATGTCTACGTCTTTGTGAATTTCCTAAGAATAATTAAGCGGTCTCTCAGTATGAACTGTTTTGCTGTTTCTTCGCTTTCGTCTGTACTAGCAATGACGGACTGCTAGTTTATCATCAGGATTCTGTAGCTGGTCGCAAAACCATCGCTACCATTTGTAGACTTAGCAATGACTCATAACAGGTCCCCTTTGTGCAGCACTGGCATTATTTTTATGATGATTTTTTATTGTGATTACTTAACCTTGTTCATAACACTTAACGCATGCTTTTTGCAAATCTGGCCTGTAGATAGCAAGTAGACAGGTAAATGTGGCACTATAGACCCGCTTACACATCGACCGTTAACCACTAAAAGCCGGATATTTTATAAGTACCTTAGTGATACGTATTGCTCAAAAGGTTCGCGAAGCTTTACATAAAAGCTTGTATAAAATTTTTATTATAAAAATTTTATACAAGAATAAAAGAACTAAGTGTTCTGTTTCCTTACCTATAGTCGTGACAGCATCGTATGTTGGTGGAGGTATGTCTTCCTCATAAGAGCGGAACGTGGTGTCCTTTTTTTTAGGGACTGCTTCTGATGAGGATACACTTTGGTCACCTGAGACCGCAAGTGTCGAGGCCGAAGGCAAATCATATAAACCGTCTGAAAAGTTTATGGAGGCAAAAAGAATCTCGTTTTAGGTAAGTCGTCGGGTAGGATATTAGTCTCCGACAGAGCACAATTGTACATAGAATGCATAATTAGCGTCCTCGGCCTATAAAAATTTACCGACGATTGCAATGTGCAATACTTCTAAATGCTTTTCTTAGAAATACAGGGAACAATTCTTTTTCAGTGCCGTTTATGAAATACATGAATTGACCAAAAAGATGTTGAAAACACAAAATCTAATCGAAACATTACTATAAAATGTGTAAATATTCTAATGCTTCATTCATGATGATAAATCAGAGCCTATTGCCGGCTGGGTTATTTGGAAACAAACAATAGAAAGCTAAAGGTTTCGCGTCGTTGTAAAATAAAGCAAATTGGATTTATAGAAAACTGCTCCAAAGTGTTGGGCTAAATTCTAAATTGTCATACTTGCTGATGATGGCGTTTGTACTTCAAGCATCGGGGGCTCAAAAGCAGGCGCCATAACAGTAGGCTTTGGAGTAGATGATGGGTCTAATAAGTCAGGTCGGAATCCAACTGCAGTAGAGGGGTCCGGTGCTATAGGTCCAATATCGATAAGGTTACCTACGCCACCACCTTTCTGATGATCATCATCATCGACGATTTGGGGTTCGTATGATAAATCGTGTGTTGTGGCAATTTCCTTTAGGTATCTAAAACGAAAACAATCGAGTCATCAGTGATTCATAGTTTCTATATCGCAATAAGCAAATGCAATCCGGTGTGTTAACCAAATCTAGGCTTTTTAAAAACACGAAATCCAAATATTCGAAATACTGAACATAATTATGCGTCTCTTAGCATTTATTAAATATCGATGCATATTATGATAATCTTATCATGATCGTTTTCAAGGAAAATGGTCATGAAGCATGTACAAACGTGGTCACGTTTTCGTTTAAACAGTTCATTGTTCTTATGCTGGCTGATTGTTACCTTTCAACTAGGTTTCTTGAGGGAGGTTCCGCTGATAAGCGATGCATCAATTTCGCGTTAACTGTACCGATGGAACGTTCCCGCACTCCCTTTACGTACAATTCACCATACTTTTTACATAACTGGTCGCAAACCATCTTTATTTCTAGAAAAAAAAATCCATAGTATCAAAATAATCAGCTTGCTTTTTGAGCTAAAAATCTCCGTACTCTTTATACCTATTAAACATAATGTAACAAAAGCATTCCATATACGTATCGTCGACGCGGCTTGCCCATGGACAACTGCCTGGCCAAATCAATGAAAAACGTTAGCGACGTCGTATGTATGGGCGAACTACTTTAAAACGATTTAAGCTTAAGCTAAAGCTTTTATGTAGATAGTTTCTTCAGTTTTGTAATAAGCAAGAACTGTTTTGTAATTATGTCGCAATAATCCTGCTTTGCAATATACTGCAGTTTGTCCCGTCGTCCACTGTTGCCTGGCGGTGATAACGGAGTCAAAGAGGTTTAATAATTTTCATACTACCTGCAAGTCTGTGAACTGCTAACAATTCATACCTAACATACATTACTTTCTGTGTCGACTCAGATTATTTTTTAACCTTTATTTCTTCATTTAAGAAACACCGTAATCAAGTAAAGGTGATGATGAAATACTAAGCCAGCTATTTTCACCCGTTTTCGCCCTTAGGAACATCTTTTATGTAAAAAAAAAACAATATTTTTTTATATGATATTATATATATATATGTATCATATATGTATGATGTATCATACATATATATATATATATATATATATATATGATAGAATACAATTACAGTTAAGCAATTTATAACCATTCATGTAACTTGTTCGCTTATCGAACGATAGCACTAATGGTTTGCAATTGATATCAAGATAAGACCGTGAAACCTTTTAAGACGGCATCTTTGAAGCAACTATATTTGCTATTCTATTTATTAAATTTATATTATGGAGATGTATGGTGCAGGTCTCGCGAAAAGTTTTTGGCGTTTTTCTCTTGCTTTTTCTTTTTCATTGCGGTTTGCTAATAACCAAACGCTTATTATATGGAAAGCTCTTTCTCTTCTCATTTTTCGTGCCATTACTGCTTTATCGATTATAAATGTTGTTTTGAGTTTCCGGTTCCAAAACGGATGTACTATTTTTGTAAAATAAAAAATGTAACAAAACGTTAACCATATGAATACAGTACAACAAATGGAACTATTAAAATAAGGCTTCTGAAAATGCAAGGGACTTCATTAGAGAAGTGTGAAAAATGATTAAGAGATAGGTTGTACTTCGATGTGGTTTTTAACAGTACATAATTCATATTGTATTTATACAGTAGGATTGATAAGCTAAAACTTGACATCTCTTGTTAAAAACGATACTTCCTCTATTCTAGTGCAGAGTATAAAGAGACAATTCTATTGTTACTCTCTCTGAATGAAGGTCGATTTTTTCATATACAAAACATCTTTATATATTGATTATATTTACTAACTATGACAAAAGACAGAGCTAACGGAGCGAACTTGCCAGGCACGTCGGTAGCAATTCGTGGCCCAGCCCAAATAATGGACGATACACTCTCCTGAAGGCCGGAATCCAAAGTCTGACACTCTTTGACAAGACCAAACCGTGTTAAAATAAGATCACAGTACATTTCGATCAATTCCATTGCTTCGCAATAATAATCTTCGCGGATGATGTGCTCCACGCGTATTCTAGCACGGTCTGCCTTTCCTAATAAATCAAAAAAACCCGAAAAAAACGTTCTTTGGAGTTATTAGCAAAGTTAAGCTGTATACATTTGTCTAACTTTTTATTACATTGAAAGAGCAAATCATGGATAACGGAAATGCATTTGCCCTATTCATTGCCGCTGGGCGCTCACAGAGACAACGCCACAGTTTTCAGAAGCCCTTAGCTAATTTTTTGAACACCTCAATTTTGAATGCATATTCAAGTACAAAAGTCGCTTCATAATCGATGATATCTTAACGCAGGATTGTCCTTTTAGTATCGTGAAAATAGCGTTGTGAAGCGATGGATCTACTCAGTTCAAGGATAATTGTTTGCTTACAGAAGCTGCCAAGAATAGGCACCTTCAATCCTTCACTTGCATGTCCAAATGTAGTTATTATATTCGGCATTTTCGTTTGTATTTCGTTCGTAAGTCAATGAGCTCAGCATAAAAATACATAACCCTCTTTAGATAAGTGAATGAAGGATCAACGTTATCTATATTAACAAGCTGTGGCAATTCAAAGCTCCTATTTGATTAACGGACATTGAACTTCGTAAAGTACAAAGCCTCATCTCTACAACGATACCCCAGTTGCTTTTGTCGAATATTTGAGACTTATCGATGGTTACACAATCTTTAGATGATTTCAAAAATGCTGTATATACATGTTTCCCTAAGCAATAACATTAACCAAATTTAACGTAAACCAAACCTGTTTTCTGATCATTCTCGTCCGTAGCCGGCCGAAACGCAAAAGTTAAAAAAAAAAAGAGAAGGGAGTTAGCACCTTAAAGCTTTTGTATTTCTTTAGTATTTTCATAGGCTTTTGGCCGAAATGAAAATAAAGTTATCCTAAGTGGGCCGTTATGTACATTTACTTACCTGAAAACGTCTACAGTGAAACAACACATGTTTAGTTACACAGTAGAGATGTACTAGAAATTAAAATTTTGTTTGAAAAAAATAAAGGTTTGAAAAACTATATTCATGAGCGCAATAAAAAAGAATGATAAAAATTTTTTGATTCATTTTTTACAAAGGGTTAGTTATACGTCGTTTAGTCATGAAATGCTATAATGGTAAATAAATGGAATTTTTGTTACTAGTTCTTTACTAAACAAATCGCAGCATGTCATAGCATTTAATTTGCTAGATCGTAAATAACTTTCAAGCCATGAACTCGCTGACTGATCGAACACCAACTTCGCAAGTAATTTTTTACTTCACTTAGCATGCACACAATAATTTCCAATACTAATAGGGCGATTGTGGACAAATCATTTCTGTGTTAAGTGTGTATAAATTAATATACCGCTTCTTCTGACAACAATTATTGATTACTAGCTCAGCCAAATAAGTTATGTTGCAAGATTATCCACATATAATATTGTAGGACGCGGCCAGTTATTAAATTCATGCAGGAAGTATATAGGCTTACCATAAGTATCGTGCGCTAGTACTTACCCACCGCGAGATAATCAGCGATCTCCCTTCGGGATTTTTGCCCAAGTGCAGCCTTTTTTTTCTGAGCTAACTTTAGACGAGACATACTGAGTCTGAGGTTAGTTTTCAACTTATCATAGTTTGGCCCGGTCGCGAACATGGTTAACGTAGTAAAAACAATAAAACTGTGAAAGGTCTAAAACGAGAGGACTCTTATAGCTACAATGATGCAAACGTCTTAACTGGTAGTGTGTCGAATGTTTTTGTCGATGATGAGTAATAGAGCGGAGAGAAGACAACGCAGAGAAGGGTAGTACACACGACGTTTCACATAGAAGCTCGTAGTACGGTCGAGTTCTACGCGACAAAATATTTTGTTCATACATTGTCTTGAATTTATTCGTTGATTTGATAAATATATTTCAAGGCACACAGGGGTAAGAGCTTGTCTTTGTTGTTCGAAATTTAAATATATGAATGTATTTAAATAAAGCTAATAAAGAGCTTTCGCAGGGATATTCGAAGCTCAAAATTTATATTTACATTTGATTTATCTTATTACATGATATTTACAATGCATTCAAATACATATATTATAGTGTAACAAAACGCGGAACACAAAACAATGAAGACAGTTTAATATGATCCTCTTTTAGATGCTAATTTCAATTTATTATTGTTTATGCCTCTCTGTACTATTTGTATACATAGTAGTCCAATAATTGCAACGGCTATGATATTGCATTGAAAAAACCACTGTTGATTCCTTTAAATTACTAATCAGAGTTTGTAGACCTTATCCGCATATCGTGCTAGCCAGCGCCAAATGTTTTCTGTCATTTCAAAGAAATAAATATTGCGCAACGAAAATTAGCGAGTTGTCGCCGTTTCAAAATAGTGACTGTTAAACGTAATCAACATGAATTTAGGCATTTATTACAATCATCTTCAATGCATGAATTGCATCAAATCGCTAAAAACGGATCTGGATTTACTTTTACCCACGGCCCTCGTTGGCATTGTTTTTATATACAACTAAAAATAAATCTCTTCCGAGTTCTACATCCGTTTCGATCTTGTGTCAAACGGCTAATCCTTATAACAAAGTAAGAGCCTGTATAATCTAAATCAAATATTTATATTCGCTTGAATTTACTAGGCAAGCACATTAGCACTTGGTAATTGTGGGAACTGCTTTTTGATCAACTGATATGTAATAACAAAAGAGCTTTGACACACACACAATAAACACACTAATGTTTTACGTGCCCTCTAGCGTTTTGTAAGTATACTGGCACATAGTGAGCAAGACGATTGTAATACGCCCTGTATAGGCTTTTCATATCATATAGCTAATGTAATAATCTTGAAAAAATATGTTGTTCCCCAACCTATGGCTGACCCCTTTAAATTACTGATTGGAGATTGTGGGTTCTGACACTCTGAGCACGTTACAACTCGTTGAAACGTCGCCTTGTAGAAACTCTGTCTGTTCCGGAAAACCCACTTTCAGGAACGCGCTCGATTATAATGTTCTTTTTTCCGAATTTCTACTTATAGCATTCCAATTTGGTACTGTCTTTCTAAAGTTCTAAATTTCAAAGGCTTTATCAGGTGGCATTGCCGCAAAATATCGTTTGTTAATAGGCTACGTTCTCGCTGCTTCAGATATTCCGAGGTGTATTTGTTTTATTTCAGACTGCCTGTCTATCGTGTCCCATACCACTTATGGCGTCCGCAACATCATTACAATAGCATTCCTTAATGCTTTGTTAGTTAGTCTTCGTTTTTGTTTAAAATTTCTTTTGAGAAAATCAGGTGCAGAAATTGGTTGTGAGCTTGACCCTTTTGCAAGGAGGCCGCAACTTTTAACTAACTTTTGGCGTACATAGGTTCCGATTATTGCTGAAACAATTTGGTAGACTATTAAGAAGACCAAGTGTTCTGATGATATATAGCGTCAAATTGAAAAAATTGATTTACACGCTTTTATAAAAAAAAAAAAAGAAAGTTTATATATAAGCTGCGAAATGAAACCAGTCGGGCTTTTCGTTTAATCCTAAACCAAACCGCATGTAATTCCGCTCAGTTCCTAGGCTTCAACATAATCGTTTGTCTGAGACATAACCATAAAAAATATTGTGACTATCTTGCAACGTTGAAAAGTAGCAAGTAGTTAAATCTGTTCTAATTTAGCAAAGTGACCAAGCTGATTCTTCACCTGCTAATCACTGAAAAGTTAAAATTAGTGCATTGTTCGACTCGAAAAAAAACTGGGTTTCAGTAGCATAGTCAGTTCTGTGTCAGGTTGAAAAAACCCAAAGCTTGAACTCAAATGAAAGATGAGTCACAACATCTCTAATGGAAATAAACTAAGCTGTATAAAATCTGGAGTATTAGTAAAACTATTTTTATGTATTTCCAGAGCGCCGAACTTCCAGATGGGAACGTATGGTGTGAAAGCAATGTGCTCACCCACGACGTTACCTTAACCCTCCTTGATGCCATGATCCGTGATGTAAATACGATGCCGCAAAATGTATCAAATACAGCAACTTTGAAAGCCCATCATATTTGGACGCTTGGTTTGTTTCATCGGGCGTTAACGCGGACCTGCGGTGTAGACCCAGTAGCCAGCTACCCTCCTATTTTGAATCTTGGCTCCAACGACAGGGCTAGTTCACTTCTCGCTGAAACAGTCACAGCTGCAGATAAAGGTGGGCCGTGCATAATTGGTGGTAAAAACTGTAGTTTTAAAGATATATTCTGGTATCAACAGAATCGCTTGCTGATATGATCGTGCCTCTTTGGAATTCTCACTGTAATGGTCGAGCCACACATTCGTCCGATATGTAAAGTACACGAACTTTTCCAAAGTGATAACTCTTAGGCAGCACAGAATGGTCAGTATTTACAGACCTATAATTAAATACTGTATCAGCTAACATAAAAGACATATTATTCTTTGTGAAACAGCGTTTCGTGGGCTCAACTTCTGGACTTGGCCCTGAAATGGTTGAACCTAAAATGCACAAAACAACTGAAAGCGCAAGAAATTGCAAACTGACACTTGAATTCGTTCTTTTAAGATACTGTTTTCAGTTTTCCAAGCACTATACGGTTCTGAGTAGCGACGATACTATATTAATATAATAGTTAATATGTTTCTGCTGTTTAGTGCTCCTTCTTTTATAATTTGTCGTGTAGTGAGATTAATTATTATCTACTATTAGAAAGCTTTTTATTTCTTCTCGAAGTATGCTCTGATTGTTCTTCGCTTATTCGCGTTACTAAAGTAGTATATTATCTCGAGTTCGTGCTCTGACGCCGTTTTCCTATTTTTTAAAGTACAGCTTCAGTATTTAGGAAACACAGGATATTGAAATTAAAAAAAAAAAAAATAAAAAATACAAAGTCGAAGCCAACAGAAAAAAGGTTAGGTTAGTTATTAAATACAGAAGAACAATTCAAGGCAATGGAATACAAAAGAATTAGCACTAACCATTAACGGTCAGTTTCATCATTTGGAAATTCCTTTTGCAGCTTTATATATTTGAATGTTTAGCATCTTTATTAAACTTTACACCATCAAAACACCAATGAAAATCTACATCTAGTTATAAAAACAACGAAGAATATTCCATTTTGACAGAGCACAGTTGGGACCGGTATAAAAGGACTATTGATATTATGTAGTTTTGTGTTGTTTTATTACGGGTCGTCTTTTACGGAACTCTAAGTATAGAGAGAGAGAGAAAGCTAGCTAGTGCTCAGATCCCGTGAACCCGAAAAGCCAGCATCGAGGTTATCATCGTCTGTGGTTCATTTCCATGCCAAGCAAGGTATCTCTCATCAGCTGTGCTCTCGTTCCAGTAGCCTCGAAAAATAGCTTTGAAATTAAAATGCTTTTCAAGAATTTATTTGTTTTCTGTGCAATTACTTATCAGACATTCGTCGATCAGTGGATCCTTTACATTTTATAAGACACTTAAAATTATTATAGGGAGAAAGCACACAATTATGTAAACGGTATCCAGCATAACGTTTGTCATAAAAATAGTGGTATCCTATTTTAATTTTTTATTCTTAATTTCTTCCGATTCTATTTTTTGCTTATTACTTTCATTCACTTTTCATTTTATTTGTTTTAAATTGAATTTTTATAAAACGTTTCTAGTTTTTGATCAGTTTCTTAAATACTTTTCAATGAGTTTTGTTTTATTATTTCATATTTTTACAGTTTATTCTTCAAGTATATTTTCTACTTTACGAAATGTTGACTTTCACGTATTTCGGAAAGCAGGAAGCTTACTTTAAAGCCCGAACTTAAGGCAATCGTTTGGGATCGCAAGGAAATCAATTTTAACAAAACAAGTTTTAAGCAACGTTTTCCTCTAAAGTCCGTGTCAGTCTATCAAAACTATCAAGGGCAAGCATTGCAATGTTGATTTGAATCACAAAAACGATGGTCCTAATGTGATAAAATCATATTTATATAAGCTATATAATAACACGGAGGCTGTGAAGCTTCCATGAGCTTATGTATACGGCTTGGTGTATACAGTATAATATCATAATAGAAAAGATCAACAAAACTAGTTCCACGACCATTCGTATGGCTAACTAATTAATTTTAAATCACACCAAGTTGTCTACCATATGTACTCGTACATTTTTAACCCGGGTTAATTCCATTTCAGATATGACAGCCTTTGGACTATTGGTGGATGGTCTGGGTCAATCGTTTGATTCTCCTCTCCCTTGCTTCGCATGGATCCAGTTGCGACAACATTTGTACAACCGCGGTACCCAAGGCGCGCAAATTCAACGGGCTCTTGTCATTTTGGCTGTTGAAAACGCCAAATTAACTCCAAGTTTAGTTCCCCTGCTTGAGGCCATTATTAGCTCTGCTGTACTTGACGTACTTGAGGTTAATGTTTTTTTTTTTTAACTTCTAAAACCATTCTTCTAACGTAAAACAGGATATTCGTGATGTAAAAATTTCCTCATCGCCAATTTGTTCCTTGAACTTGTTTCAGTAGTGCAAACGATTATTTGAAGTATCTTTTAAGGGCCACTAACCAGGCACTCGAATCTCAAAAAATGCGTTTTTTAGGACAAGGTACGCAGTGGACGGTTGTGAAGTGGTTCCTCCGCTCTCCCTTAAAGAACAAAAGGAGCTGTGCTTATTTAATTATTCCGCGTTATAGCTATCTCGTTATTTCCTTTTTTAGCTGTTCTCTAACTTCGTAGCTCTTTCTATTATTAGAAAACAACCAGTTGTGCATTTAACTGTTCAGTGACATTACATGATAAAACGGATATTGCTCGGACTGTATTAAATAATTAAATATATAACAATATCTATGGGTTGCTGGCCATAGCTGAATGACCATTATAAAAATTACTAGTAATAATATTAATCACTAGTATAAGTAATAATAATCATTATTATAAGTGCCGTAGCTTTAATTAATTCTGCAGATGGTATTGGACCTTGGAACCTGTATTTACTCCATTAATCATACCATAAAATGATACTTGTTACTGTCTTTTACGCTCGGTCTACATATTTCTTCATTCTAGATCCTACAGCAGAATCCCTTGAATGTACATAGTAGGTTGCAGCATTAGTAAGGGCGGTTGTACTTGCCGTCACTCTTCACGAATTTCGCTCTTCTTTCAACCAGTCTATTTATTTCTTTGTTCTAAAAATTTTCAGCTCTAAAATTAAAGAATTTCGCCAGCCAGTTTTCCAATTTTTTCTTTATTGTCATTGATCTCTTTATTGCCACTGATCGGAAAGGGTGGCCTTTCGCAGGCGTGCCGTCTGAACAATGTGCTAAGTGCTAAAAAGTGTTTCACTCAGGCTCTCGCAGGGTGACTTCTCCAGCTTTTTGTCTTATACGGTCTAGTACCGTCGACAAAAACGATGGATTCGCTTCCTCTTCCATACAGCTTCATCTTATAACTGCAACTCGGTCACATACAAATTATTGTTAACCGTCTTATACTTTTTGTGCATTTTTCACTTTTTAAGACCCTTTCATTCCCGCCAAACGCAAAACTCAAAAATATTCTGCGATCGAAAAACTTTTGGGGATTTGTTTCGGAGCAATTCTGTGGGTGCACCCAGTTTCGATATACTTCTGTAATATGCGTCTTGTTTTATCCGCAATATCTATGTTTAAAGCCTAAGGTCGAGGTATAATTTTATGTAATAAACTTACAACGAACAATACCACGGAGTAAAGAGAGCTATTTTTAATTATGTCTGAAGTAAACAAATAGTGGATTGGTAAAAGATAAAAGCAATATTTAAAGACGACTTTTACTTTTGTTACGGCCTAATATATACACAACTAAAATCGGTCTTTTTGGCAGTCTCCTGGTAGTTTACGAATGCGTTTATACGAAAATGGTACTACTCGACGAAAGCTTAATAATAAGTAGATAAATAATAAGCTAAATAAGCTTATACACTTGTACACAAGATAAAAAGTGTATAAGCAAGCTTTCCATGGCGAAAAACAGTGCGCCGTTTTTGAGATTAATGCGAAGGTTAGATATTATTCCATTCCTTAGTCAAGAAACCCCACCGAGATTATAAACTTTTTGGGTTATCCCAAATCAGTTTGGTATGACATTGGACATGAGTGTGCGGCTCCAGAAAAAACAAAGGCAATGTGAAGTCCACAATTAATTGATGCTGTTTGAAAGTGGTTGAAAGTTCTTACGTTTCGATGGGCCTTATGTGAGCACGTTTACTATGAAAGACCACGCCATTGGTCGGAGATTGACAATATTTCCATCAACGGCTCAAACCTTTAACTCAAACCGCGTCCGAACCAGCAGCCGTTAATTGTTTACATTTTTTATCATAATACACGACCACGACTACTAGCCAAGCTGCGTTCACGCAGTATTCGCGTGTCCGTCATACGGCTGCGTCGTTTGCAATAGGCAGTAGCCTCGCGTCCCTGTTGCAGCACTTCCCGGCTGGCTATCTCTCAGGCTGCGCGCCGTCGCTGCAGCTTTCTAACGGTTAATTTTCGTGTACCGTCGTAATATGTCCCGGCGTCTTTCTTTTCTAGAGTCGTTAAGGTTTAAATCTGCTGACTTCATACAGCATATGGCTACTCATGCTCCATACGGCACACATCTGGTCTTCCTTTTCGGTGAAAACTCCCTCTGTTGACACTCGCCCTTCGTAGCCGACTCCGCTATTTTGTTCTTTGCTTCAGCGCCGACCACCATGCGGAATTCAAGCTGACATCGCAATCAATCATCAATCAATGAATATCCTCGAAGGAACTGTAACAATTGCTTCGAGGATATTCATTTCCTGAAACAATATGGCTCCCAAGCGGTCTCTTTCCCGGGGCAAATTGACCAGTTGGCTGGAAAGTGGCCAGCATTTTGCGGTTGATCCGTGGCAGTTCGCGGTTCTGGTCTTGTCCTCTAATAGCCGGCGGGGTTCCTGGTCTTGTCTTCGATCGCTTTTACAGGTTTCGTCGGCCGGGCTTCTCCGCTGCCTTCAACACATAGAGGGCTAGGCCGTTGGTCTAGATTTCATCTCAGACCAACGTTCTTATGACACAAAGGTTAGACAGATGCTCCGTGAAGGCAATAAAACCTAAACATATGTCATTTGCTCCGCAGTTCTTTAAAGAATAAAGGGGAAAGTTATCTTTAACGCTTCTCTAACAATGTTTATTCGATATTATCGATGCAAAAAGCAACCCCCAAAAATGCCCGTTCGTTGTTTCAAAATTAGAGGAAGAGTTCTAGCGGAGTCTATTACGATTACAAGCAGTTGTCCAGCCAATGTTTATTTTCTATATGTGGTGTCGGTGACGCCATACCATCATTTTTTTTTAAAAAAATATGGACAAACAAAAAGGTTTATCTGCACGTCTTACAAAGCGCACCATGGGTAGCTAAAGTGTCTAGCAGAAGAGCTTTTAGTAAAATGATACACCGGCTCATACAAGCCTGTTGCTGTAGCATTAGCTTTTTAAATATCTCAGCATGCTTTTGTGATTAATCAAGCACATATGGCTGCCTGACAGTACAGGCTGAAATATTACTGAGCAAGAGCTCAACAAATCTTAACATGGCAGCGTGCTATCTGAAGTCGTTCACATAACTGTAACAGAAAATTTTGAAACAAGCCGGTGACAGATTGGGGTCCCGAATCAAAGTTGTAACCGTATTATATTGAATGAACGTGGCCGTCAGGACACATTTATTACGAGAAAACAATACACTGAAACATCTGTTTTCGTTAAGATACAGTGGTAGAAATAAGTCCTAAGCAAATTTTGCTGATTACCCTGTATATATGTTGCAAGGCATCGGGCCTTGAGCTAAATACCCACAAACTATGCATTATGACACTTTCCTAAATCAGTTCGTTTCATTCGGCCAGCGTTACAGGACAAGATGACCCATCCTGTGTTTTTGCGTCCTGTTCTGCTGATGTATTACATTGCTCTCTTTGTTTGGAAGCGACCGATTAGACCACGTGTTCTGACTGGTACCCCAAGTGAGTCGCGCTAATGGTTCAGGCGCAGTTTGCCTGAATTTAGTTAAGGAACTGACGCAAGCCCCTTAAGATATAGTGGATTCCTTGAACAGACCCCAGCACCTAGGGCACCATCTGGCTAAATGCCTTCACACTTACGATTTTGCCGGTTCGTATCCTAGACCGTGGTATTTACGAGACAAACTTTATTTGCTGGCGGCGCATAATTAAAAAGTTATCTAATTTCAAAATCACCCGTATATATATATATATATATATATATATATATATATATATATATAAATCACTACTCGATATATGATGTAAAAGAGAAAATGTTGCAGATTACAAAAGCTGCAACTGTGGATTGCGAAGGGAACTCGCAATATACACTTAAGCGTTTCTTTTTAACTGGAATTTGAGGCATGAGGATAAAGTGAAGTTTGGCATTGTCATCGGATAATCAGACTGCGTCCTTTCGATTGTCATATCAATGGTTTGAGTCTTCTGAGAACCTGCATTCATTCTTTTATTTTTGGTATCTCATAGTAGCAGATGCTCCCGAGGTTCATTGCAGGTACTACTACCATCACCTAACGTCCGAAGCTACCCGGCACTGCCACCGAACTCGATTTCCCTCCAGAGCGACGGCGTTCTGTCCCCAAATCCCTCTTTGGCTGGCGACAAAGATCGAATCGTGCCTCATTTATGGTGACCGTATGGTGGTTTTTGTTGCCCAAGTCCCGCAAACTGCATGTGGAATACGCCATACACATTTGTAACTGGCGTGGAATCGATTCATGGGGAATTTTTGCCTAGTTTTCGCATCCTTAGTACTTAGGTTATAATTTTGTAACACGTTACGTGGGGTGCAGGGAGAACTTGGAACATACATTGTCCTCTTTGAGGTTTGAAAATTGGTATAATTCAGCTAATGCGATTCAGTCCCAAACAGTACCGCAGTTTTGAGCATAATAAGAGGCAGCTATCCATTTATGGTACTTTTCTAACTCCGGAAATACTAGCTATAGTTTTCTTTATTCACGTGCGCATTGCCAAGCAAGTGGTTGGATAGCTCTTCGAAAACAGACGGATTTAAATTCTAACGATTTTAAGAACATCACTGTAATATATAAGGCTAATTATTAGACTCAAGTCACATTTAGTGAGTACCAGGACAAAAAATCTTTATCTATTAAAAGAAAATGGAAAATGATGCGACGATGTTTCTGGCCGAAATTGTAAGAAGCTGTGTTAGATGATTTCTTTTTTGTGTTGACTTTTTGTAATACGAAAAGTTGGCTAATTAGGAAAAAGCAAATGTTGATATATTTGTTTATGGTAAACCGTATTCGACTAAATATGATTTTTTTCATTCAATGTCGCAGGAGTTTTGCAAAAACTTCTTACTGGACCGCTTGAGACTTGTGCTGGAGGTTTGCGATCCAAGCAAAATTGGCCCTTTTCTTTCACTTTATAAGGACCAAAGGGTTAACAGTGAAGATATTCAAGTAGCCGAGGAGGCCTGGAAAGTAAGCTTCATAAATATTCATCTTTCTTTTTAGCGTTAGTGGTATTTTTCATATTGTTGAAAACTATAAATATTATAATTGCTTCCAGGATAATTATAATTACAACTATATTGCTAGTTATGGCGTATGCAATTATTGTCACTATGTTATTCCTTACTACTAATATAGTCTTGCAATTACGGTTCTTATCTTATTGGAAACAATTTCTTTGTTTATTGGATTACAATCCATGTTCAGCAAATGTCCTAGTTGCGCACCCCTTTCACGGGATTTTTCGCTCGTCTAAATAACAGCATTGCTCATTCGGTAAAGAGATCCGTCGCACCTACTTGTTCCTCAGGAAAAGTCACCTTGCGCAACGTACATATTGAAAACTCATGGCACTTCGTAATTAGACTTCTTAAATACGATGTATGTTTATTCCATAAGCACGGAATCTTTAATAAATGAAATATGGTTCACTAAACCGAGCTGCTAAAGAAAATTTACAGTTGTGAAAAAGTTGGCATAGTTGAAAAAAGTAAACATAAATGAACCAATAATGAACAAGCAGCCATATAAAACAACTTTATGTTAATGATTCACGCACATTTTAACAAAAATGTGCAGGTACCATTTGTTAAAGTAGTCATCATACAAATAATGTTGTTAAAATTGTTCAGCTACAAACACAGCTTATTTGTCCCGATGCTGGTTAAGGCAGTGACGAGGAAAGATGTATTGCGTCGAAATAATGCTTCCATTTTTTATTAAGCCGAATATTTTAGAAGACAATTGTGGACGAAATGTCCCAATATTTTAAAATATTCAACCGCTTAAACTTTCCAATTAATATGTATTAGAAATTCGCTCCATATAATCAATCCGAGATAAATAGAAATTTATCTCGGAACACAATCACACACGTCGTGTTTACGCATAAGTATCCATTAGCAAAGAATTCCTCATATGTTTTCAACGACTCAAACATGCAGGTTCGAAGCGTGAGGAAATAGAATTGTGAAAGAGTAGGTTTCTCCCCAATATCAATACGCGACAGTGTATTGCAAAAAAACTGATCAATTTCCCTATGTTTGGTGGTTATTCATTGTTCTTGATTAGTTGTACATGTATACCTTTCTGGAAAAACACCTGTTGTTCTTGCCACTAGGCAAAGGTGAAGTTGCCCGGAAGGCGGGTATCGTTCATATATTGGAACGTGAATATGCAACAATTTAAGACGACCCTGTGCATCAATGGTTATAGTATTGTTCGATTCCATCTGCTTTAGAGAAAGCTTGGTCACTTCCTTCAGTTGTATATTTGGTATATACTTGATGAATTTCACCGACGAGCAGTTAAAGTAGCAACCAAAAGCCTTACAAAAATTCGGCATGATGCAGGACGGCCTACTATGACTGAATTTCGTCATTTGCAGGCTGTTGGCCCTCTTTATAACACACGAGGCCTTTTGATCTTGAAAGGATCTTACTTGCAGGTGAAATATGTCTTCAATATACAATGTACGTTTGATGGATAGCTTCTGGTGCCTCTCAGCTATTTACCGTATTTTATGCAAACAAATCCCCTGTGTAAAACGGCCCGTGAATATCACTCTGTAATGTTCCGGATCTGCATTTTAATCCGGAACTTCAGCTAGCACAAATGTATTGTAGTTGTGTGGCTGAGGTGTGGTGTCCTCGTCGAGCAGCAGTAGTCCCCTTTTTTAGTATGCTAAATAGTCAATAACGTTTCCAAATTTCTTTGCATAGCGTTTTCCGAAAGGGTTTTTCTCAGTTAAAACTTTTAACTAAGTATGATTAATTTTCCAGTTGCTGGCCTGCAGTAGGGTCGTCCATAAATTTTAGCCAGTGCGGATTGCCCGCTGTCGTCATTTCCATACGCATAAATGTACATTATGGCATCCTTTAGATGTTCTACCATGTATCTTAATCGGCCCTTATGAAAGGATAAAACTAAATTCAAGTTATGTGAGTACCTCGTTGTTTCTAAGGTCATTCAATCTTCTACATATGCTTGATCGTTAAATGTTTGGTTATTTTGAATAAAATAGATTCTCAGACTCAATCTTCGCAGCCATCTTCTGCAGCTTCGGAGACTTTCTTTGCTCTTTTCGCATCTCGGTCTTTCTTGGATGCTGTTTTTGACCTTAATCGTTTCGGCACGGCAAGCCTCGGTGTTAGGCTAGGATCTTGAAGGACGCGAGGCTTAGTAGCCTTTTACCAAGTATAGTTTAAACACGTTTGTCATGCAACGCAATACAATTTTCATACTGATAGTATATCAGCACAGTCGATGCCGGCAGCCTTTTTGTGTCTTGTGTTGCATTGTGTTCAAACAGGAGAAATGGGAACAAGTTAGCATTGATGGCTTTAGAAGGGATGTATATCGCCAATTAAGTCAACAAATCTGATCTACCAGTGTGTCGTCACTGTAAGATGTATGTATGTTAGGCAAACCATTCCAAGCGAGTCGGGAACTTCTGCGGCATTAATGGTAACGATGATTATTATTATTGACAGATAAATTGCACTGCAGATCATCCGTATGATGACACAGTCATTCTTTTGCAATAAGTATATTTTTATAATTGCATCCGCAGATCCTTAGAGCATACAAGGTCTTCTTAAGTGTCGGTGCATATTAATTGTAGACCTATTTTTTCTTATTTGTAATAATGAGCAAACTTCGCTGATTTAATTATTATAGAGTTTATAACCACTGGGCCAAAAATAATCAATTTATTTGACAGTGAAGGATGTTACCGTATCACAATTATATCTGTTAAGTGGACTAACCCTCAGCACTCGAATCATCACTTTGCAGTTGCTTGCATCGTACCTTGAAAATTCGGCAGCCAATTCAACATTAGTATACCTCATACAAGAGATGATTTGCTACGCTCTGCCGTCTTGTAAAGCGCGCCACTATGTTGCGGCATGCCTTATCAACTTCAGGGATGTAACCCTGCGTGATCTCATACTGAAAAGCCTGCTTGCTCAAGAAAAGCTGACGCTGAAGAGGGCTCTTGAGCTTCGTATGACTCTAGCTGGCGTGATTGAAATGGCAGATGTTGAAAATCCTTTCACGTTTATTGGCGCGATGAGTAACAGGTAATAAGTATAGCAGTACCGAGTTACAGTTTCTATTTTTGTACTACTAGTATTGACTTTCAATATTCTTCAGTGTGTACCGTTAAGCAGAAAAATAGTTGACATGCTGAAATGGTGATGGCTAGCTTTTTTCATCAAGCTCGATACAGGTAAGAGAGCAATTAGAATCGAGTAACGCTTCTCTCTCCGTCAATCACGAAAGTTTATTACCGAACCTTTGATTTTAAAGGAGGGTGAATTTATACCAGCGATAGCTTACTTTATGGTGATGGTGTTCTAGTTAGGTGGCCTTGCAACTAATATTCGGGGTTCTTTATTAAATATTTTTGGAAGGTTGTCGAAATAAGAAAGCAACAGGTTGCGGCATCCCAACGGAATCTCGGAGTTTGATATCAGGGCTCCTCACAAAAAGGCTACCGTGTTTCGCTCAAACCGTAGCACAGTAAATGCCAAGTAATTGTTTAATATTTATTGAGGAGAAAAAAAGGTGTATTGCTGCTATATCAAGTAAGACATGGGGATACAGATGTTAAGTAATGCCAAACTTTATACAGTGGTAGAAACTGAAGTTCTAAATGGCTGAACTAGCTTGAGTCAAGACAAGAGCGATTCAATCACACGAGAAGGGAATAAGGGCTTTTCTTAAGATACGAAGGAAATATTTTTTGGTGGCTACCTATAACAAGCAGTAGTGGGTTTCTGTTTGATCTCAAATAATAACAATCTACAACTAAATTAGAAATGTGGTGATTATGGCAACAACTATCAATAATTTCTAAAATATTGTCAGTAGTTGAAACTTTGGGCCACATCGGTGTTTCTTCTGAGAGTCAAAAAGGTCTTTATGGTTCAAGGGTTTAAAGTTGTACTCCAAAGGGTATATGAAAGAGGTCACCCGAATTAAGAAGTTTATTATGCATAAAATAACGAACGAGATATAACAAAAAAGTAACATCCTTTGTAGTGGGCTACGGTTTTTGCAAAAGATCAATGTCATCGTCAGCCAACAGTGGACCTTCAAGGTAGCATTTAAGATTCTCCTATTTTCATCAATCTCTTGGATTTTTTCGTTCTTAAGCTACGCCGGATGGAACTAATTGAAACGGCTTTCGGGTGCTATACCGGGCCGGCTTCGCCTAAAACGGCTTTGAATTTCTCACTATGTGGTGTGAGATTATCTATACATTTTGTGCCATATTGTTATGGGCCAACTGGCTTCAGTCCAAGCTGCATCGTATGCCGTTTGATTATTGAGACGTATACGACAGCCTTTACGTTCTTATGTGTTGTAGTGATATACTTATATGCTGATCATTTTGTTGCACGATGTGAATATCGAGCGCTTGTCTGAATTTGTACTAAATAATCTGGGGTCATGCCTTCACTAAGGTTGTGCATGTTGGCAAAATGATGAATTGTTTTTGTGTACACGAGTCCCCTTATTTCGATAAAAAATAATCTTGTATAATGCATGTGAATCTTTTGAATGGCAGTGAAGATGTACTGTTTGATAAACGTTTAACAACATTCTGAAAATTTTACCCAAAAAGTTGACAATAGATAGCCGTGGATAAAGCATCCTATCTTTGCCAGGGCACTATTTTGGTTTTCCCTGTCAAATATATACAGTTGATGATGTTTGTTATGGGCTACGAAGAAAACAGGCAGCAGCTCTTAAGCTTCCCGCCATGTAGACATCAGCTATGCTTTTGGTGTTAACCATAGTAAAGACTCCCCAAAATACATCTTGGTGCAAAATATCGAGTGCTTTTCATTAAATTAAAATCTGCCTCCGGTATGTCCGGATGTCTATCCCACATTTGAATAAAGATTGTGGGAACATCTGCTCGATAAATAAACCACGCATTCATCCATACAAACGCTTTGATTTAGCGAGTTTACAGAGTTTTCTATTGAGTGCGCATCTGTCAACTGCGCTGGTCCTGTCGTCGAGAATTCCGTGAAATGGTTACTCGAGATCCTTCCACGTGGACAACCTTCTTGCCGTTCGTTGACTCTACTTTCTTTAATTGCCAACATGATGATCCAACCTAGCGACTGGGAGGATGGGAGAATTGAAATATCCAGGACAGAACAACAAATAATGCTCCTGCTTCCCTATAGAATAGACCAAATGATGCGAAGCAAAATTTGGGGAACAGCTGCCGTGGAACATGTAAGTCAAAATAGAAACACAAGTAATTTCTAGATGTTATAATGTGTGGTAAACTCGTATTGAGTCTGCAGTTCAAATTCTATAATTTTAAACAGATTTTTGTACTCGTTTCTTTGATTCTTGTTTATTTTGCTTTAAATACGCATCTGTATTACATTAAATTCAATATATCTGTGTAATATACAAAGATACACAAGCAACACAGCCCGAGCCAAATGTATTAACTCCATACTGTTTTCTTGCAATCAAAGTTTACTAACCACGTGGACCAAATCAAAAGATCTGTACCTGAAACTGGAGCTGTAATATTATATCTGCCGGAGATTAAACATACTATGTAAAAATTGATAAGAACCGTTTTCGAAGTTGTTTCTTGGAATAGCGGAACAGGAAGTGGTGAAGCCATATGAGTCAAGATCTGCCTTGGGCTATCGTACTTACCACGCGAAAATATCGACCAATGGCGTTTACGTGTTAGGTGCTTAGAGCTCCACAAGGTTAGTTTGCGTGTACCAGACTTCATACGAGGAATTTTTAGTTAAGCGAAAGGGGAAATTCCTGTTTCACGAAAAAGGCACCTACGATCATGATTGGAGAAGATAGTGCTTCAGCGTCGTTTGCTCCCCAAGCTATCTAGGCCAATAGTTGCAATTGATCTACTACAAGTCCTAATGAAGTGCAAATTTTCTATATCTTAATTACTTTCTAAAAGCTAGTCACCTTTATTTTGTCGAAAGGGGAATCACTGTTACGCATAAATTGCGCGTTCCATATGTTAGAAACAGATTATTTATCCTTTCTGTCCTCAGAGCTATTGTTGTCAGCCCACGTATGAAACTGAAATACAATTAGATTTTCAATAATCATCCGTATAGGTATCAGTTTGGAGCGTGGTTGCAAGAGCTTTAATACATGATCTAATGCCAGATGCCAAAACCTCTTATAGATTCGAGCATGAAAGTAACGCCTCTATATTAGAAAACATAGTACATGAATGAGCTAGTAAAGTACATTAATAGCCATTTTCTAAGTGGACGTCAGCATATTGAAACACACAGATTCTCTGGGGGTATTCAAGCGTCTATTGTAGTTATTGGAAGATTTTCAAGTACGTTCGGGCCACACATTATTAAGGACAGGAGAAGCCAGTTTCTTTTCACCACCTCAGCCTATGGCTAAAGTTAGCCAAACCAGGTTCGCAAAAGGTTAACTAGTTACCTATCAATAAATGATTTTTTACTGGTTATTAGACTCTGGAAGACTATATTTAGCCAGCTTGAAGCCTATGGCAGCTATGGTCGGCCTATCAAGATCATAAAGAGATAGAGAGGGGAGAATCAGAAATTATTCTTTACGCTAAGCTTTCAATAACATTTTATATATGCACGTAAACTGCGACGGTTTTGACATTAATTGACATGAAGCTTCACTTCGCAAGACCATATCCATATTTTATTCAATCAGTCTATACTCTGTATGCTCTACCACCTCTGCCGCAGTCTTTACAAAAAGAAAGGAATCATAGCAAGTGGACTGCAATTTTCATTAGTACGATCCACTGATTAGGTTGGATAGGCAGCTTCCGCGTTTCCTCGATTTATTGTTTACTGCTGACGTATCGATCGAAAGCGCTTCCTCTCTGCTCTATCAGCGCGCGCTGTATTATAAATGCAACCTCAATTCGATAGAACTCTTCAATTACAGATGTTCCAGGCAGAAAAAGTGCATGTTCGACACGTTTCGTATTATACCTATGGTCGAGCCCAAACTAGGCCAAAATTTTTTTTGCAACATCTGCCTTGGATACAATGTTGACGCTGTGGCTAAAAGGACTGCTGAGGGGCGGTTTGCCAGGTTGCCAGGCCAAAATAGTATTCACAACCGGGAGGCTGCCTTCCGCTATGGCCGCCGCTTTAGTTTAATAACGGCCATCTGAAGAAATCTTTCTTTCATCTGAACGAAGGAAAGAGGGAAGGTAGCCGACAGCAATTTGAAAATTTATACAAGACCTTGGGGCTTTGATGCCTCATACAGTTTGTGAATCCAGCAAGGAATTACCGTTTAACGCTGTATCTCAGCGTATCGTCGAGCGTGTAACGCGGCTCCAATGCCCGATGGTTGCGTAAAATTATCATTGTCGTTAAAAAGTATGCCTGTACGTCAACATGAGCTAAAGATTGGAATGGACGACTCTAAAAGATACGCTAAGGCCCAGAATCCAATTATACCATCATATAAAAAAAAATGCGTTACCTTTGGATTGTGAAAACGTACTTCACAGTAACAAGAATGCAAACCAGATAGTTAATTGGATTAAGTCAAGTAGGCTATTTAAAACAAAAGACTCAACGAATGAGGTTGAACCATTTTGTTCCACGATAACGAGAGGTCACAGACTGTAAACATCGTCAAAGCTGCACTTTTAGACTTCGAATGGGAGGTTCCGTTGCTCCTCAGATCTTTCGGATTTTTACCTTGTCCGTTCAATGGCCAGTAACCTTCGTAGCCTTATCTTCGACAACTCAAAATATGATTAAATCCTGTCTAGCGAGACGGCAAATATTATTCGGTAGAAAAATAGTAGAAAATTGTCAACAATGATGGGGGTACCCATAACAGAGTAATTTATTGACACAGGAATGAACAACATAGTGTCTTTCACATAATACAAGAGGGGCATGAACATTTTTCCACCTCACGAAGAGCATTCAATGAGTCACACGCGCCACTAATTGATCGGGCATTGATAGCTTCAAATTGTTATTAGTACATTTATAATTTAAACTAATAAGTTAGATGACGTTATAAGTTGTTGGGAGGTCGGGGGCGGCTGAAGTGAGAGGACAAAAGATTTGGGGGTGAAATTACATCGTGAGAGATGAACGTGTAGGAGTGTGGACGAAAAGTGGAAAATTGATGGTAGTGAAGGAGAATGAAAAAGATAATGTAAAAGAATTGGCGGCCTGGGCGGAAGAGTGGACTATAGGAGAGAGGAACTATTTTTCTATAGCAATATAGTTTATTAATGATAATAACCACACAAGAAATACATCCAGTGACTGTCTCTTTGAATAGTGAGTGGAAGCTGTAATGATGGCCTATCGTCTTCCAAATCTGACTTGATCGTACCGTCGGTATCTATAATTCTGGTCTAAATATCTATAATTAATTATGATCCATAATCGTAATCCTCTAGAACGTGTTTTATGTATTAGGATACTATTTAGTCCCAATGGCACGCTAATGACGACATGGTATTGATATTACCAGAAATTTTGTTGGTCTGTTTTAAAAATGTGCTTCTGTGATAGGAAAAAAAAAAGAGTAGAAAAGTGGCCTGGCTGTTTTGCTTTTTTAACGCTGAATAGAGTACGAAAGATGCGTAGCTGGCGCAAATAGTTTGACTAGTTTAAAATTAGAAAGAAAAATATCCAGTGACTCCATGCGTTTGATACCATATGTGTCTCAAAAATTCGGAAAACCAGATTGCCTAATAATCCTCTTTGTATTACATAATGGATAAAACACGGGAGAGCTATAGGGTGCTCATATTCCAGTCTGTTCAAAATCAACTAAACATGGAATATTTGAAATGTGAACTAAATTGATGGATCTTTGAAGAAAGTATTAAAAAATACTTTCTTAGCTTTAAAATAATTAAAAAAAAAATTTGTGTCCATCAGAACTGAATGTTTTTCATGTGTGTAGATACAAAGAAATTCCTCTGTGGGGAGTATAGGCTGCTGATACCACGAAGTCATTCAGTGGAGGATCGGTATGGGCCTGTTTAGGTCAATCAATGTTAAATTTGCACTCGGATCTGCACACAACTAGGTGGGTGACCTTGTGCTAAAGTATATAAAGTTTTTCAGTAGATCACCGTCGTTCCTATTCGAATATCCGACATCTTGAAAAAAAAGGCTGCTCAATGTCACGATAGGTGCCTGGGAGTACGGCTAAAGTGTAAAAGTAAACCCAAGTTTACAGTGTGTAATTGGGAACTCAGGTAAAGGGAATATGGAAAATTTTCTAAACCTAGGCAGAAAGTTGGACAAGATTCACATGATCTTAACGAACAATTGAAAAGAAACTTCGCATTGAGGGTGAAAGTGTGTCGACTACAGTAGCAAGGTAAAACCGTTAAGTTGGCAATCACTGCTTCTGGTAGTCCAGATCAACTGTTCATCAGAAATTACTTAAAAGAAAAAAGAACGGGAAGACGAAGCTTATAGTCTAACACGATAATGAGCTACGACATGCTCTTATTAGACGAAGACCACACTGAGCAAAAGTCAAGCCATCAAGTCATCTGTTCTGTTTTAAAATTTTAAGCCAAGATTCATGTTAAAAATAACTAAGAATTGTTACAATGAAGCGATTGGTTTCTAAGTTTTTTAGATCTAAAACACGACTGAATAATATTAGAAGAATATCATTCTGTATTTATAAGATATCTATAAGATAAACATCGCCATACCGTTGTCTTTCGGTGTGTTATCTATAAGTCCTTATAATATCACAAGTGTAGATCCTGACTTATAATTTAAGTTTTGGCTTTTAGTAATGATAAATATCTGCTGTTGTCGACTGTTGCTCTTTTACCATAGATATTACAATGGTTAATCTCAGTTTTGGAAAACACCTCGCCATCGAATGATACGTACGCGGTGCTTCATGATACCCTCATGGCTCTACGGGATAAGCCGGTCTTGAGGAACAATAGAACGATGTGGACCAGGGCCGTAAAGCTGACCTTACCTAGCTCAATTTAGCCTGCAATATACCGCTATTAAAAAGGTAGTAAGGGAGCAGGCCGACGAGGCATGAATAACAATGCATTTATAGAATTTCCCGAAAAAATAATGGCACAATAAAGTAATTAACTAAAATGTTAAAATGTATTTATTTTAAGAAAAATATGCTATGAATTAGCAAACGTTGTGATTTATATCTTAATTTATTTTCATTTCTACATAAAACATATGCAAGTCAGATGAATATACACGTCCAATAAAAACTCGACCTGTACTGAATGACCAATATTAATAATGATAATATGATATTAAGGACGAACTTTGGCATGAAATGAAATTCACTACATTTCGAAGGTGATTCAGACACAGCAATGACGTAAGAATCCTTGTCGGTCAAATGACGGGGGTACTCTAAATGCAGCTTTTGAATATACTTATTGCGGCACTATTCGAACGTTCGCATTGAACAGACGTATGCGAGACAGCTTTGTATTCAGTTCGTGATTACCGGAGTTCTGCAGGTTGAATAGAGTGCGTTTTTGAGTCAAGCTACGGTTCGCGGCCCCGTACATCGACGAGCGCAAGTCGTTACGGATTACGCCTATGAAAAGCAGTTCCAAATCTCGCTGTCAGTCACCAGCATGCTTTCAGTGAGAAGGTTTGCACCGGAAGCTTAGATGTAGTCAATATCGCTGTGCTCCTGGATATATGAACCACCGACCCCTTCGACTTTTCACTTCGTCCCGTTCTACGACGAAGGGAACAGGCCACGGCTGTCCCATTGGTGGAGTTTCAGTGTTTTACATATATGGAGATGGGGACCTCGTGTCGCGTCATGTCGCGGACAACAACGTGGCTTTGCGCAGGTTAGTGGCATCGTATGGGCGACCCAGTGGCAAGGAGTGCGCTCGACCCTTGTGGGAAAGCTCGTCGAAGGCCCATAGGCTGTAGCGGACTCTATTTCCAACGCTCTTATCATTATCTTTGCAACGAACGGGAGTAAGGATCAAATCAACGACGTCGGAAAGATTCACTTTGTGGGAGGAGGGGGGCAGCATTAGAGACCCAGACTTGTCGCATTAGATTCCAAGGTCCCCTTAGGACCATCGCTTGTTTGAAGGAATAAACCTTTACCGCGTAGATTGGACTCGAAGAAACTCCCAGAACAGGCTCTTGAAGTCCTCTGAACGCCAACTTCGATCGATATTAAGGTCTGGTCATGTAATCTCGTCGACATTTTGCCATTTTTAGTTTATACCATTCGTCCCAAGAGGCACTGTGATTTAATTACAATTGCCATTTACCTCAGAGTGCCCTTAAAATACCGGTAATATTAAAACTGGCAGTGAAACCATTAACCGCAGCGTTCAATATGATCTGCGGGAAATGTATGCCACTCAATGCAAGATGAACCTGAAAGCGTAGGAAGCTGCTCTCACAAAAAAAGGACGAGCGTCAGCCATGTAAATGCCTTAAGTACCCTAGACCGTCCTCATGTCCCATTGCCTCATCAATATTCATCGACTGTTTCGCTCAAGTATTCTCACTTAGGAACATCACTCAGCGCAACGTGGGACGAACCAATAACCTAGCGAACGCGAACAGTTGAGCCATGAGAAGTGATTTAGGCGTTTGAAAATCTACCCTCAAGGAAGGTAGGACTGGACAGGATTTCGAAAGAAAGGCTGAAGGTCGCCATGCGGCTGACGCTATGCTGGACGGTTTTGTTTAACGAATGTTTTCTTTCCAAACTGTTTCCTCCTCCTTAGCGGAACACAATGTGTCTCATCATGCCAAAAGCAGAGGAGATCCAACCGACGTCGTGGCGCAGAATGGTGAAAAAAAAATGTCTGCTACGAATTTCTTTCGCATCTGCTGGCAAGAACATTTCACATGTTCTGGAGGAGTCTGAACGCAATATCGAAAGAGCAACACGTATTCAAAAGGAAGATCTCGCCGAGGTCGGAATTTTCGCGAATTTACTTAATATGTGATACTTACTAATTAATGGTATTGTAGCACAACACAGTTACAATCGATGATGGGGTCTCAGAGCTGCCAGCGTGTTCTTATATTAAAGTTGTAACCCGGAGTAACAGCTTAAGCTTTCTTTTCTTAGTTTTGCTTAAGCATTTTCCAGACAATATATATGGCCTAAAAAGTATGGTGAAGGTTTTTCTCTGTGCAAACGATTTGTGGTTTACATAAGCAGTCATAGCTAGGATACACCTCGCTATCTCTGAATTAAGATTGACCATTAACACAAGCAATAAAACTGGGAGGTGAAAAAGTTGCGGGTCGTGATACGTTATTCCTCTCAGGCCGACCGCTGACATATGTTGATTAATTTACTTACCGCTGATTTTTCCCATATTAGAGGAAAAATACAAAAAGATTTTTATAGCTTCGTTCCTAATATTTAGCCCCCACCGATGGCTTCTTTCAACCGTTTTGCAACTTTTCAACCTTAAGGTTCGCCAGTTATCGATTACAAGGTAAGCTTAGTCTGGGATATTTTGAGAGCGGAGAATCTTGGCTATTTGAACCAAAGAAAAACCTCACTCCTCAAAAAGACCCTGGGACTTTCCTACTTTCTAACGGCGACGTCACTGTTCGTCGACAACCTTCGTCGGCACTTCAACTTATTGTCAACTCCAACTTCCGCGAAAAGGCTGGTACAATGGGACTAAAAATTTGCAGAAGTCAATCGCGAATTCTATCACGTGGGAATCACAGCAAAAGTATTTGATCATCGAACAAACATGCGATAACGCGCTATGTAGTGCACAGTTTTGGCTTCTGTCTTCGCAGAGTATAGAAGTTTCATAAACCTAATCAGTATTGTGCTTATATTAGGTGCAGGTAATCTTATAATCTGGATCATGTTTCTCGCTTCCCACAAGTTTAACCCTCACGCAGCGTAACTTGGTAACTAACCAAAACGTGACACTACCATGGCGTATACGGTATAATGCAATTACCTTTCACGACTTGAGCCCACCATCATACGAAACGATATTAGCTTTAGCCAGGCTCATAAAGCGGTCATATATATGGTATGGAATAGCACCTAAGGTTTAATATGCCAAAAAGTATAACCTCAACGGTTTGATTGATCGATTGATTAATTTATCTTTATTGCATGCCTAGTTTCTACTAACGTTAACTTGGTTCACTCGTTTTATACATACACGTTTATACAACTGACGTCAAACGGCTAAGATAATAAACAACAATACATAATGTCTTTTCTCAAGTGGATATTTGCCTTACATTTGATCTTATTTCCTGTCAGTATATTCTTTCATAGAGCTTTCAAAGCTAGGTGTGCTTCGCGGGAATAATAATTAAACGCCCTCCGATTTTTGGACAAAATTCTGTAGAGGTAATGCACCCATTATAAGCAGAGAAACTAATGGGTATTTTCTTTCGAGATTTCCTTATTGATATTTTCAGAGCCGACCCCTTTCAAAGCTTCGGGATCAAAAGCTATACTCGCAGGGACTACGTTTAAACAGTGATATGTGTATCCTAAGCCTGGCAAAAATATTTTCTTGATTATTTGGAAAGTAGTGAATTGTAAATACGTTTAATAGTAAGTGTAAGGTTTCATTCAAAAAACGATTTTATAGGAGGTTTATTGTTTATTGTTTATAACTTGATATTTAGCTTAGCATTTTGTATAAAATATCTACTCGCACAATCTTAATAACATCAAAACACACAATGTCTTGATATAATTTTCCTACGGTTTCTATTGTTGCTGAGATTTCGGGCTTCAATCAGGACTCGGGAATGTTCCTTCCGTTTCAGGGAATAAACCTGCAGCGAAAGAATGTTAGTAAGGTACGTTGTAACTCGCGCGGTCTTTGAGTCGCTTCAATGAAGAAAACAGCAAGTTTGTCGAAGCACTCGCAGTAGAATGGATCTGAAGCGCCCGGTAATTTCTTAATGTCCTGAAATTAGTCTTGTTGGTCCCGATCGTATATCTCATCGCCGTACCAACGAAAATGCTTCAAGCTTCTTAGCGCATCATCCTTATTATCTAGAAGAAAATTAAACCTGGGCCAAACCGTTCTTAAAACAAGTGACCACTATCGAATAATCAAGTATCAACTACCTGTATTACAGTAATAGTTGGTATTTCAGTTGTGAAACACACTTTAGAATCAATAAGGATTCGGTCGCACGCATCTGATGGGTTAGGTGATTCGTAAAACGTAGGCTGTTAAAATACTCCTTGGTCAAAAACGGCATTTGAGCAATTTTTTTTAGTATTATTCGAACGCCTGGCTGAATATGCAGATATTAAGTTGACTAAAAAGATTGCGACAGTTTTCTAACCTAACAGAGAAACGCAGTGTTTCGCTGAAACTCTAGTAACAACTTGGCCCTCACTTATCTTTCGGCAAATTGATTAATTCCGTTTCGCCAAAAATGTTTGGATTTGTTATTAAAAAAGTCATCCAGCCAGATTTTTAAAGCCTTTATACTGTCAGATGCATTTTTACTTTTCTTTTTTTTTTTTGAAGAACATGTGAAGGGTAGCTAGCTACAACGGAACCTCACGCAGGACCATATTTGCTTTCGCATTGAGATTCGAGTTAACGCAGGCGTATCTCCATGAGATCAATTTTTTCTTTGTTTCGTTGTAGCTGCGCGGTGCTCCTTCTTGTGTCTTATTCACTCAGTCTATGTGACACCTTGGCTCTGCATTTTCAATTAGATTTAAGCTGCCTCATAATAGTTTAGTAATTGCAGTTCTCTAGACGAAATCCAAGATGCTCATCGATTTTGGGTGGCTAACTAATTAAAGCAAGGTACGATGTGCAGATTTTGTGACTTAATGAACTACCTTTGAGTCACACATGGGGTCTACGCTGTACATAATAAGCCCAGCTGGTTAGGTACCTTGTTGGTCTGAGCATAGGAAATATTGATGTTTGCAGCCTGAACTCCATTTGTTACACAACGTAATTATAACGGGTTTATGTGAAAAAGAGGTAGCACTTTTGAATGGTATTTAGAACTTAGAGAATAAGCAAAAGCGAAAGCGAGAAAACCGTTATTGCTTAGATCAAATAGTTTGTGATACAATGATTAAATTGAAGCTATTCGGACTTCTGAAAATAATCGTTTACCATAGCGCGTAAACCATACAAACGCGTCCCACCTATCACTAGTCACGAGAAGCACAGACGCATAGACCGGCGTAGTCACTCGCCATGCTAGCGCAAGGCTCGTCGTGACAGGGTAGCGCCTAGATAAGCTATTTCATTTTGAAATGCAAATTGGCATACATTCTAACCTTTTACACCTATCATCAAGTTTGATTTAAATGAAGAGTTTTCTAGATCATATTTGGCATTTAAAGATGGCCGGTACTCTACAATAACTAGTTTAGTTGACACTGGCTCCCCTTAGGAGAAGTATATGATGCCCTCATTAGGAGGGAATATATTGAGAATATGATGAAAAATCGACCTGACTCTACTTGCAATCAGATCTTAGAAGTTAAAACCCGTGCAAAAGTCCTGAACGACATCTGAAAAGGTGGAGCCCTTGGTGAATGTTAACGTGCATGCTGTGTCGAAGCAGGAAATTGCGCTCTCAGTGGAGTTTGAAGGAAGAAGTTTCCATCATTATAATGGTAAATGGATACGACCAATCGAATGATGAGTTTTTTCATACAGAGATTTCAATTTTAAGTATGGTATGGTATGGTATGCGGAACATTTTTACTCAGCTCGTTCGTACCTGTCGTTCGATAACCGAAAATACGTCTTCTGCATAGGGCACCATATCAAGCTTTCACGATTTAAATTACATTTTCTGGGGAATATGAATATATATTACATTTTAATTCAGCTTATCGAATGCTCCCGATTTGAGCAAAGAATTACTCCCCTATGTAGAACTTAATTCACATTAAGTTCTACATAGGGGAGTTCATGTTCACATATTTAGCGGCTATTTTTGCCTATCGCAATTTTCCGGTTAGAGTAATATATATATTTTTAACTCCTCTTATTTTTATAATAATAACCACTTCATTTTATTGCCATGATCCTGTTAATGCGTTGCATGTATTCTGTCCATGCAAACAACTGGGTGTGATTTCCAGTATACAAGAAAATAAATTTCTATTTGTGCACGTAAAGCTAACCCACAGTAGTGGGCATCGGCGCCAGTCTGAGACCTTATTTTACCAGGGGCCCGTGCCCTTCTATAGTTATTTTAGCATTGGTCTAACCTAATTACCCTGCTGTATTTATCCAGGTTTCCCATTTCAATCAATCGCACCATTTTTAAAAACGTATTCAGCCAAAGACTACGAATCATATATGTCGAAATGGTTCAAGCTTTATCAATTATTTTGCAACCTAACTAAATTACCCTTTTTATAGGGGAAACTAACTGCCCACGGAAAAAGATACTCGCTTTTACGCTTTAAAAATAAACTGATATGGTTCATATGTCATCAGTTATAAACTACTTTGAAAAAAAATCGCCACTAAAACGTGAAAATTTTAAATTTTATGCTAAAATTTAGTGTTGGGCCCATTCTTTATAACTTAAAACATAAACATATTCAAAATGGAAAATTTTAAGAAGTTACCAGGCAAACTGCCAAAAATTATCTGTTTGCCTAAATTAACCTGACGCTCTAAAGGAAAAAAGAAATTTTACTTTCTAGGGAAAAAATATTTTTCCGATTGGCTTAGCTCACGCGCAATTTTCCCTAGAGTGAAATTCTATCCGCCAAAAGTCAGCCCAATCCGACCACTTTACAGGATCGACTCAGGACGCACAAATAGTTAGACAAGCGCAGGGTTTTAATGACGCATTAGACGCTCTCCCAAATTTTGCCCTGCGCCTCTTTAATTTATTTACTCATTGCTACCATAGGTTAAATATACATTAACAGTTATCCGATTGCAATTATCTTGCCTCACCTAATGTTACCCAGCTGTAGCCATTTCATCAGCCTGTTCCAATATGTTCGCCAGAAGGCACAGTTAATTCTACATTTCTTAAATATTGTTTTTGCTACATTTCTACAATTTGATGACGAGATTCTCTAACGTTGGCTGAGTGACTCTGTTTACAGAATGCATGAAGGGTCGGCCAACTTCTGAAAGACGTACATGAATCGTGTTGGCTTTCGGCCAATTGTTAATAGATATTGTGATTTATGGAGCCGGCTAACTTATTAAACCTGTTCGGGAGGCCTCAGTTTATTCAAATATGTACATTTTTTTTTAAAAGAAATGCTTAGACATACTATATCTGCTCCTGAGATGTCACCGAATTTCTTTACCTTTTTATTTTTTTATAATAAGTGATACAGATATACACGCATATATAAAAACCACCATAAAAATTAAGTTTAATTTTTTGTTAATAAACTGTCACATAAATTATACGGAATATTTGATACATACTAGTTGGCTAATTGATCGTGTTTCTAAGGTGTCACCGAAACTTGAAAATTCTTTCTATCTTTTAGTGAAATAAAAATGAATTAACAAGCTCAACGTTACGTTTGCCGTTTCTGGCAAATGTTTCTGGCTCGGAATTGACATTTATTAGAAAATTTTTATGCCGAAATATTTATATAATGAAACATGTATAGTATTTTTACTGGATTAGTTGAGGTTTGTTATCATACAAAAATTTGCATATACAAAAATATTCATCTGAGTATCACACAAGCGAAGAAACTACTCTATTTGGTTTTGACCTTCTTCAAATCAAAATATTCATTTAAGTTATAGGAAGATGTTTACTTAGCTCGTTAAGATCTACCGATTGGTGCAAAGAATTAGCATCAATAAAGTGGGGTAGAAAAGGCTTTTCGATAAATTAGTATTTTTCCAACAAAAAAAAAACTTATAAAACATAAAAAAATCTTCAGTTAAAATATTGATCATATCAGTTACTACACCTTTTGAATTGCCCTTTACGAAAAATTTGTTCAAAAGTAGTTCTAAATACATTTTTACCTTACTGCCAGATCGGCGAGACGAATCACTCAATTTTTGACTATCTTCACACTGAGGAACATGTATAGGAGCACCGTAGTTCAGCTCGACGGGAACCTTCGGTTGTTACTAAGTACGATTCCCCCTACATAAACTTTTACCAATTAGAAAAATCTTTTGACGATAATTTCACTAAAAAATAGCCCACTCGAGTCCCTTAATTTTTTCTATTGTGTCTATGCCCTACTTAAATTTTTTCTATAAGAATTTAAAAATTCTTGTAGAAAAAATTTAAGGAGGACAAACATTGCAAAAACAACACATTGTATATTACTCTGTGGGATGGAAATATAAACTATTCCCAGAAGAAACTCTCCCCGGATAAAAAGCATTCATCTGATCGACTCTATTTTACGCGCAGCAGTTTCCAATACGAAATTCTAGCGATTCACCAAAATTCAACCTAATACGGCTGTTTTGAAGGGTTTATTTGCGTCGGACAAATCGACAAATAAATGCAAAGTTTTATTAGCATAAAGGTAGATAAATCAGAACATACAGAGGATTTTTAGGGAACTGAGTTATCCATGGCTCGGCCTTGTATCTTGTGTGTGGGTCATTGCGAAGCAAAATTCGGAAATTTGTTTGTACGTCAACGTTTTGGCAAAGAATAAGAGTAACTAGAGAAAGCAACACGATATCATGTTTAAACTGGCTCGTGGTTATTGGGGCGGCAATTACATGTGAATAGAACGCATGCACGACGATCTTTGTGCCATTTCAGAGGAACAAATTATCCTCACCGAAGGTGGTCGGCGTCAACTGTGGTGAGGTGCACGTTGGTGGTCAATTTGGCGCCTCCACAGACGCGAGTACTTGATGCAAACATTTCCAATGTTGGTACCGGCGGTTTGCATAATGGTAGGTAGGAGCTGACAAGACACTCTGCAGCACACTGCTAAGATTTCACTAAATAGTCCTTCAGCTGCGTATGGCACGAAGGAATTGGTATCGGCTTCCAAAGCTTCGCATGTAATCATGAGACACCCGTCTTATATATTACTAGCTAAAGAAGATCAGCGAGTAAATGACCTCTACGGGAATCTTATAGTGGGAGTGCGCAGTGAAGATGAAAGACATCAAGGCAGCAGCGATTTCCAAAAAAAGGCCCCTGCGAGCGCCGCTTTCCCGTCAGCGTGCTTTTTTTAAGAACTAAATTAGCAAGGAAGGTTTTGCCTATGCCTTAGGTGCGCCAATGAAGAGCATTTTGCCTAGGTTTGTTCCTAGACACGTGCAGGCGTCACTGAAGACTACTCCATGAACGTCAATTAAAAGTCGTTCGTGTAAGTGTGATTTCGTGCTGTTTATCAAGTTCATATCGAGGTCCTGTAATTATCCTGGCATTCATGTTGACCTCTGTACATTGTTGTGGAGAAGATTAAAGTAGTAAAAAGTCTTCGTTAGTATACCCTGATAGTACGTCAGCGCGTTATCATAGTGAGTGTCAGCAATCGGAAGCGTCATGCTGCACGTCGACATGCATGTATTATGCGGGAATCCTTCAGCCATTGCAAGCGCAGCGGGTTAACTCTTTGATTCGTCATCAACGTGACGATAAATAGATCCTGAAATGCCCATGGCACCTATATGGTGTCGTCTCCTGCCATTTTCTGGTCCCAATGTTCGTCGCCAAGGAGAAACCTCTTGTGTATGACGGCATTTTTTAAATATGGCAGTATGACACACATCGATTGCTTTCGATGCGTGAAACGATGTAGGCCAATGCACATAGTTGAGCCGAATACACAGGCAATAGAGTACGTTCTCGCGAAAGATAACTGTGTAGATACGGATAAGAGCATGGCCAGGTAGCATAAACACAGTGCGCTTGGTAGTTTTTTGAAAATCCCGGAGGAAAATGCTGTGTCTTTGGAAAGAAACGCTGGCTGCTCCTGGAGTAAGTGTAGCTCACATCGCTCAACATGAAGGTTCATGGTTATGAAATGGAAAGTTCAAAAATTAGCACCGTTCATCATGCGTGAAAATTCTACTGAGTAAAATGGGCTGTGAACCATGTGTTTCAGTACTAACCTGTGAAGAAACTGAACAAAAAAAAAAAAAGAAAAACTGAAACACATTTTGGATAGGCGATGACATCGCCAAATTTTCGCATATGATGGTGCATGAAGAGGTTTTTTGACTAAAACGCCATCTCGACTCAGTTCGACGAATTTTCAGGCCGTTAGGCCTTGGAAAGTTGACGGAAGATATGTGGCCATTGTGCGTTACGTCATGTATAGAAATAACGACGCATTACTTGAGGTACGTATGCATATCATTACGTCCTGCCTGAGTCCCGCCGCGGATTGCAGGCCCCCTTCAAACATTTAGAAGTGGATACACTGTTTTGACACTAGGACTAGGCCGTAAAGTTTGTCGCTTGCGTAATTAGATTTATCATATGTCGTTGCTTCAAAAAGCTGTTGATTGCATTGAATATAGTATGGGTCTTCTAACTTAATTTTCACCGCCATGTTGACAAGATTTTGTTGGCACAGGCGCTCTGCCCCGTACAGATGATTAAATGTACCGGCCCTATTTGTGATGTGCTACGCGTAGCGCAATGGGCTTTCTGCTGTAAGTTGTCCATGGCTGATGATGCCAGCCGTTGTCAGCAGACGAAAACAGGAATACGTACTCAGTACTGTTGTAGGATCGGTGTGATTTGGTGAATGGCATGGAATCCGATTGCCTGTAGGTTAGGTGTAAATTACCTTGCTAGCGAAGGATAACTTACCTGGTTGTTATAGATGAGCTGCATCAATTCTGAACAATAATTCCTATTTCGTGGCCTAATCGCATATTCAATATGTGGCCGTCCTCGCCTGGTAGTCGTCGTTCCATATTAATAATGTGCAGGCTTTACGTGCGTTACGAACGCTCTATTTAGCTGTGATGAGGTAAAAAATAGCTCGTCGGGGTACAATCTCTAGTACTTTAATGACTGTGCGCAATTAATAACGATTGATAATGTGCAGTCGGGCTTCGATAGCGTCGATGGTAAAGAACTGACCACACGTCGTCATGTACCGACGTTAGTAAACTTATTTGGTATTACAGGGTTTTTTGTACAATCAAAGAAAGTTCGTACGTACACTCAGGAAGATGCTGCTGTCTGTTGATCAATCCACGTCATTTAAAAAAGCATTTTGTATTGTTCGCGGGCAGCCAGAAACTCCTTGCCGGCAGTTCTGTTCAGCGCGTCAAGCTTCTAGGGTAGATTCATGTCATTTAATTTTACGTTACCTTCAATGTAGCAAGAAATATTTTCTCGCTTTTAACCAATATGAATTTGTAGTGACGGCACACTTATCTCGTTAAGCTGAGTTGTCACTGGTCGACAGAAAGTATTTTGGTTCCTGCTTCATCAGAGGGCCGTTGAATAGCAACCAGCAAACGGCTGTAGAAATCTAAATCAGTTTGTAGCTGGATAAGGATTAGTTTTGCATCTGAATAGGCTAATAAATTATTGTTCACCTCGTGCTCTACCTCCGAGTCGGCAATTGTATCGTCGCGGTCAGGTTGTAGTTGAGGATTTTCGTAAGGCCCATCCAGGGGCTGCGTTTTACATAAAGTATGAGGACTCTTCCATTTGGTACGGCTCGAGCCGGTGTCTGGGTTCTGTTATACATCGGAGGCGTACGGGTCGAAATGGTCTGGACGCCGGCTATCGGGTAGTTGTCGTAGACCTATAGTTCAAAAAGTGCCGGAGAGGCCATGGGGTAAGTTCGGATGTTTTCCGTGCCGCTGTCTGTGCTACTCTTGCGACCTTGTCTCTAAGACAAGTGCTTTCATCTGCAACAGTAATCTGTCGGAATCAGTTGTCCATGACAGTGTTTATCGAAGACAGCTGAAGCAGTGCGGGCGGACTAGAATGGAAAGACAAATTGTTCACGGTGCTCAATTTGGCCACAGGGGCACAGTGCTCCGTTTCCCATACGTTTGTCAGCGTCTGATAGATGTCATACCCAGCGACTGGAACGAACGAATACAACGCTATAGTAGAGGAAACGACTTTTTCCATTAGAAGCAAAAGTATATAAAATAAAAAAAAACGGTTAACTGAACATGAAGTTATATATTTGATGATGTATCCGTGCGATTTATGCTTGTGACCGCCATAGGGTTTCGTAAGAGTGCTGCGGCTCTTGTTAAGGCAGAAGTACACCGACTGTAAAGAATCCAGTCTATTCTGTCTACGCTAAGGGGTTAAGTGAAGTCGGAGGAGACTACCTATCCAAGGCTTTTAAGGCTTAGTAGATAAATAGACAGACCAGCGATTTTCTCCCGGTCCTATTTTGTCATTGATTGATTTATCTGATTTAATCCTTTAATTAGGCTAACGAAAACTATAGGTCGGGTACACAATAACAGTTATCCCATTGCAATTATCCTGCTCCACAAACCTGATGTAATTACTTCAGTGGCCTTTCTAATATGTTTGCCAGGAAGGCTCAGCCAACTTTACGTTTGTATCGCTCGTAATATGTCGGCTTTTCGTGTATTTCTGTACCGTAATTACGTGTTTTTTTTTTTTTTTTATGTTGGCTGATTGTTTTTAGGATGCACGTAAATAGGTCGGCCGGTCAAATGTCAACGAAGTTTCAAGTAACTCTCCTAAACTCCGCTACTCAATGCTCAGGAGGAGCAGATACACTAACTCGGTAATAAAGCATCATAAAAATGCTCGGAAAAATTCGTAACGAAATATTTTGGTTTTTTGTCTGCGCAGTACGTAATCATTTGTTACTAGTGCATCTTCAACTATAGAGACGCTCATAAAAGCATGCGCAAAACTACAATCCGCAGGAATTGTTAGCCCCGTTCGTAACGGCTTTAAATCAAGTATCTCAAAAGGGACATTTCGCTAGTACTAGATTTGACACGACTTTGCCACCCAAACTGCCTAAGCAATGCTTAAGTTGGTGTGGAGCTAGAGCAGCTACCAGAATTTGAAGCACTAGGATGCCTAAACATATGCCTGGCAGGCAAATGCGATAAGCCGTGCGTTCTTTTTAATGCGAGCAGGAAGACTTATGCTGCTAGGTGGCCAAGTTGGCGTCATTGAAACAACTTGAAGCACTGACCGTTTCCAAAAAGGAGCTGATGACGGCTATGCCTGCGGTACACCTTTTGCGAAAGGTAATGAAATATTTAAAGCCTGAAGTTCTACGAATGTACTTCTGACCAGATGGAGTGTTGCACTGGAACTGATCGGCCGAGCTCGAAAGGCGGATGCATCCTCACGAAACCGACTGGTCGAGATATTGGAGCATCCAACACCGGCGACGGAGTCTTACTGCCCGGCTCGAATCCGGCCGTTCTATCGTCTCAAAGTTCTATGATGATCGAGCTTGAGAACATGCACCTCTGGTGTTAAAATTGTGTAACGCTTATCTGACATTCAAGCATGGTGACATACTGCTTGAATCGTTGCTTAAAGTTCAAGAGTCTGTTATCAGTCACTTCTGAGTTCGCGTGTATGATTTCCAATGCCATAGAATTGAATATATATTCGTTACGTATCACGTACGGTTGCACAGTATGTATTGGAAAACCTCGAATAAGATGATTGTTAGCTAAGAACATTGTACAACAGAGCATTACACTGATAACGTCCTATGAAGGAGGATAATTAGCTACATGGTGGTGGGTAAGGGCACGGAAAACTTACTTGTCAATCCTTCATGTCATAACTTCTCCTTGCATTGGGCTCGTGTTGCTTTCTGGATCCAGGGGACTATACCACGATTGACAGAGAAAGCTGTCTGCCAACAACAACTGCTAGTGAAAGCGTTGAGCGCACATGAGATCGCTGCAGCAACGCGGCGGCTACTCATCGAAGTGCAGACACGTCGCTAAAATGTGATGGCAACTTTCGAACATGGCGATGGGTCAATGGATATAGCTATAACTGCTTTTTTTGACCTGGTTGGTTTAGTTTCAGTTAGAGGTAGAACGCAGTTTGCCGATGAATTGTTCAAGATATGTCACCTCATATTGGTGCGGGATCATATGTTTATTAGGCTGCTTATCGCTGATATCCATCGCGGAGAAATGAAACACATGAGGACGAATATACGATTTAGTATGTAGACTTCAAGTTGTACGAGCGCCAACGTTAGTTAAGTCAATAGTTCACAAATGCATAAATTGTCGGAGAGGGGCGGCAAAAATTAGCTTGGTCTAAAAAACCCTGTTACTCGCACAGCGCATGTAGGTGTCATTCCCGTCATTTAAAACGACAGGAATTGGCTATCTCAGACCGTTGGAGGTAAAGGGCGATGATGGAATCAAAATAGTCTGGGGGCTCTGTTTATATATGTCGTAGCAAGGTCCGTGAATCTCGTAGTGGCTCATGATTTGGCGGGAAACTCGTGTTCAACGGCCTTTCGCTGATTGTCAGAACTGTACGGAGTTCTAGCAAAATAATACTTCAATAAAATTTCGAGAAAGGCGTTAAGATATCTAGCGGGCCCTTGGAAGGCGTTGTGACGCGATGAGTTAGTTCTAAAACTATTTTGACTGGTCTGGGATTGTCTGATGTTTCAGTGTCCTACGAAACGCAGGGTCGAATACTACAAGTGTCTAATCGATGTGGCAAAGACAAAACGATTAGCTCTAGCAGATTGTCTTTAATTAGACTTTAACTAATGTGCTTCAAGGGGCGTTACTATAAATCAGCGGTCTCACTCCAATACAAGATAAAACTGACTAGCCAAACGCCTTGACCAGTCAGTTTCATTAATGCTGCCATCGGGTCACTCAGTTGAAGCTGGTGGGATTTACAATGGTCTGACTAAGGTATGGCATCAGCAAATGCTCAGTGTTGTTTTAATCATCTTTGACATTCTAACTATTTTATCCTTGCAAAAAGGTTTTCACGATCGTCTCTCCTAAATACAGCATCAAGCATTTGCCCTCCCTCCCGCCCCCCATTCCAAAAAAAAAGTAGACTAGGATTGTGCTGGACTTCTCCTCTGAAATTTCCTCAACAGACCTATGAAATGGCACCGTAATCATACAATCAGCTATTAAACTTTACAATAATCAATTATTTTTTCTTATTTCCCTGTTCCTCTCAGTTTCTTATTTTCTTGGTTATTCATTTCTGGGTAACATTTTCGCCCACAACGAGCTTCAAATCAACATGGCAACGTGTTTGTGTTTGTCATGGTAACACATTTAAACATGGACGTCATTTACCTAAACCATGTCAACCCATCTCAGTGCATTTTCGAGACGATAAAAAACGAGTACTCCTTAATACTCCGCGCAGCTCAGTCAGGCAGTAAGATACTAATGACATCGTGCTAATTGAATGAGATAAAGCTCCGATAGCCTTCTGGAGACTAAAAAAGTGTTACCGAGTCGAGATGTGTGCAAGTCAGTAACGGACGTCCCGTGACGAAACTTGATAAGACCCGACCCAATTTTTTGCGCCCGCATGTTGGTGAAATTCTGAATCATCAAAACGAGTGATCTCTATAACTATAATGTCCCGTTAAGCAGCTATTACAATTATGAATACAATTAAAATAAAATAGTACCGTTCTATAAGTTGAGATTTTAGCTCAAGTATATAAGTGAGGTAAGGGTATCTAAGGTTTGTGGAGATGGCACCTTTTCTAATTAAAATTGTCACCATTAAAATTGAAGTGTGAAATAGTACCATTATATGGAATATTGCGCTTGCTCCGCACAGGTGTTGATTTGAAAGACGCGTGTCTTATCGATTTTAGGGGCGAGGGGGCGCCCCCTTCTCAAGTTGCATTGGTAGGTAGTTCTACACAGGGTCCCTAAGCGGTGGTGAGGTTGACCTCAAGCTTGCGGTTTCGTCACTTATTTTCAATCGCTGTTAGAGTATCGTAGAACAAATTGGCCCACAACGGCGGACGGCAGGTCGGCGAAAGCAAAAGAGAGAAGCGGCGCTTGGGTCGGTAGCGGTATCAAATAGTGTATAAATAAATCGTGAGTCATTCTCGTAGTCATGGTGCAACTTGCACTTTTTTCAGTTATTAGTTTGCAACATCCTATTTATTCATAACTGCCACATAAACCGAACCTACTTTCTATAAAAAGCTGATGTTTTGCTGTAACGGCCATTATCTTGCTGTTAAATATGCTCACTATGGTCTGTATCAAAAATACGAGACATACAAAAGAGTCCAATATGAATCCCGATGACTATTCTGCGTTAAGTGCGTTGTCGACACCATGAGCCTAATGACTTTGTCTATTGGCTTTGCGTGACATTTTCATACCAACTTGTGCAGAAAAAAAAAGCGCAGTCGAGTTGAAATACGATTTTCTGCTGTCGAGCTAGCACATACACAATTTTAAAAACATGAAAAATTAAAAATAAAAACAAATAAGTAGAAAAAAGTGCTTACGAAGAAAGTAAGTTGTGAAAAAAAAGACCTACAGCTGAAGAAGAATGACTAAGAGATGGTTGATAGTTGTTCAAATACAAGGAATGTACGCCGATTACAATTAAAATGTTGCTTGTTCGATAACGTTATAAAAAATATTATTATTTGTGGACAGGTTCAATATTCCTTTAACTTTTTCAGGAAGTATAATTTATGTAGAGCAATTGAAGTTAAGATTAGTAATTTAGCTTATACAACGCAAACTGTTGGCCTTTTAGACGTTTCGTTCCACGCTTTTGTAATGGTATTAAGGTTTACATTTTTAGAACGCAATATTAAACAAACCAATACTTTTCGTGTTCGTCTTACAACTAAAAGTTATTGTTTTAAACAGTGGACATAAACAGACCACCGTTAAGCCATGCCTTTTGTTTTTTCAAAGCTTCCAATACAGATATGTCATAATGCTCTGCAACAATACGTTAGCAAGCTATTAGTGCAAAAGACAGATTGGATTACACGCAGAGGAAAAGTAGAGCTGCTCGCTCGTTAGTAGGGATCGACGCCAAAATCAACAAGTTTGAGAAGACGTTGTTTTAGCATTTAGGTATGCCCGGCACTGCCAGAACCGATTATCATTATAAAACAGAGCCAGAGATCTATGAAATACTTCGAATCGAAACCTAACGTCAGGCTACGAAAAAACGCGACGATGGTAATAGACAAGACAATCACTCATTCGACTACCTGGATTTGTTTGTTGAGTTTGGATCAGAATTTAAATAGGTTTGTTTAAACTTTTTTTGGCGATTCATGGCCATTCAAGTTCAAGTTGTAATTCGCAAAAGAACTGCGAGCCCTTAAAATATCTCTACTGTTGCGAAATCGAAGAAGCCAGGTGACCGTTTCCTAAAAGAAATGCTGTGTGATTCTGTATACGGATGACAGCCGTATGTTTGCTATCAGAGCTATATTCTCTAACAGGCAAAAATGCTGGTCTAGAACAATTTTGAATCTGCGCGCGCACACACGAACACCAAATTGGAACATGAATGTTTTATGTTAGGTATGGTTAAATAGTTGATCTAGTTCGCAAGCGGTAGCCCTTTTTGACTATTTCCTAGTTAGAAATTTCAAGCAGCGTCTACTTTCGCATTTAAACTACCTGTGCAGCTGACATGATATCTGCTGTAAGCGATTTTTTATTTTGCGTACTGTAAATTATAATGAAGATGATTCTATTCTCACGATTACGTTGTGCAACTAAAAATGTAAATCGTAAACGAAAGCGTGTGAAATATTTCAATTGTCATGCGGAATCTTGGAGCTATATGGGACAGGGGCTTTGTGTGACACTTCGTTTTGCGTGGACAAGGGAACGCTTATTAAAAGTTTTAATACTTTCAAACTTTCAGAGTTTTGGTAATCCATACAAGTCGGGGATGCGCGTCACGGCATTTTTTTTTTATCACATTTCAATATGGCACAGCTAAGTTTTGCTTACGTCATACTGAACTGTTACTTAATGATAAACAAACAAACAAACAAACAAAAGAAGTAGCTTGTTTTTTTACCACAACCTCCCCTGCTCAGGAGTCAAATCTTCAGAGAGGAATTGAAAACAAGTTACTTCTTGTAAAAGCGATTAGATTGAATTACATTCGATAATTGCTCTGGGTAACATATGGGCCACTTTCTAGCAAATGTAACACCGGATGCAGCCGATGCCAACAATATCAGATATGTCTGAGAGTACAACTCAGTTTAACGGAAATGCGTGTAAGTGTCCAATTAAGGCATTATATTTTCACACAGGTTGTGGCATATCACATGTAGTGGCTTTTGACGATTTTAATAATTCAACAAAACATTTCCGACATGTGAACTGCTGTGGTGATAATCATAGATGAACATTTAGCAAGGGTAGCTGCCTGTACCTAAATCATGTATTTCCACGAGAGTCACAGCGATCAAATTGGCTTTGGAAAGCAATGCGTTACTGTTCCGAAGGAAGTGCAGTGTGTCACACCGTGCAGCAGAATTTCAATATTATTATTACTACCAGGTTGTAATTTGTTTACCTGTCCAGCGTTTCCTCCAATTGTTTTTATAACTCTCCTTTCTTTTTTTTTCTTTAGCTCTAGTTGACTTTTTCGTCCGAAGTTTCGTTAGTGGGTATTCGATCAATCGATATTTTCTTCAAAATAAATGAGATGAATAAGCTCATTAGACTATATAATTATAGAGACATTGATGAATATAATGGTGTAGATTTCTCTCTTCTATAGCTCCAGACTTCAGCTTCTATAGCTCTTCTCTGTATAAAGATTCTGCTAAAAGTGTGTTCCGAAACTAAGAATTGGCAAACTAACACGTGACAGATTCTTAGGCATAGCAGCTTTGTTTGAATAGAACTGAAATATAACAGAAGTACTCTGTGTAACTGAGTTAGTTAGAAAGCTTACCACACTAAATGCTATACCTATTTACTTTTATTCTATGTATTTACACTATATATACATACTATATATATATACACATACATACATCCTATATATATATATACACACTGTATATATATATATATATATATATTTTTTTTTTTTTATATGAAATAGACTAGTGAAATTCGTTTAGGTTTTTATAGAGCATCTGTGAAACCTTT